AAGCGGCCACATCGGCTTGTATGAAAACTAACCACTCCAGCTCCATTTTCGCGAACCCGGAGCCACAAGCCTGGAGCTGAATATCCTGTCATCAGAATGTTAACTACTGGTCGCAATGGCTGGCCAGCTCATCGACAGTGATCGGCCATTCCTGGTAATTTTCTTCCATAGACGTCTCCAACAATTCCTGACTGTTTATCTGGGATTGGTTCGATGACTGGCCAACAGATGACTGGCCACTGATTGTTGGCGATTTGCTTCCAGCTGTTTGGTGAAGAGCCTGGAATGACGTTTGTTTGGCCATGGCCACGGCAGAGACGTCGTACGAACCACGACGTCTGTGGAAAATACGACGGAAAAAGGATGACAGTCGTTCAGTAAATGAACGCTTTACTCGCAACCTTAAAGAGAAAAACATAATTTCTATAATTGTTGCTATAGACCCCTAATCCTGATGATTTGAAGAATAGTCATGCTATCTAATAGACACAGCAAAACAACTTTCACAACAACACAGCCTTGTTTCAAAGCGTAAACGATTAGACAGAATTTATACAGAATTCAATATCTCATAAAGCGTAAACGATTAGACAGAAATAACGTTGGTGGATAGTAACAAACATCTAATGATCTAACAACTCAGTATTCAACATCAGTACATCAGTAAAGCACGTTTACATCGTCGCTGCGACCACTGACTAGGAACCTAGGCATATTGTTGCACTATTTCGGGATCACACCGTCTCCGAAATACATATTGATATTAGTTGAAGGTGAAGTTACTCACCAGGAGTGCTTTGCAACTTTTTTTATACTTGGTCGGGCCGCTGGGTCCATGCTAAATAATTTTCTCATTAGGTCTTGCAAATCTACAGATAAAAAATTCGAATACAAAATCCTGGATGGCCTTGTCGTATATATGAGAAAAACGAAAAAACAACAAGCAAGATTTAAATATTCTTAGCAACAACGGTTGGTGTGATTGATATGCATTCCAACTTCAAAAGGGAATTCGGGAATATATGTATGAATGCTGATCTCTATATTTTCCGGCTTTCTCTAACCTGTTATAATTTCATGAATTTAACTCACCTTCAGATAAATCATCCAGTTTTGGCGGTCCTGATATAACATCTGCAAATGTTGTGTAATCCGTAAAAGCTGGTTCGCCGTGCAACATTTCATATATCATGACTCCAATAGACCGCACAGCTTCCTTGCAAGGATCATACAATTCATGCAGAATGTATTCTGGAGGCATATTGTATGGAGTGCCTGAGGGAATAAAACATGTACAATGCAATTAACCAGTGTTTTTTTGAATGGAATAAAACTACTAAGCAATGACAGGAAAAGTTGAAATTTAAGAAAATGAGAAATATTACTGGGGTTGATAGTTTTACAACAGATTAAACCTGACTAAAATTAAAGCCAGTATTTTGAAACCTGAAAAAGTAAATTCTCACAGGTTCGATCAAGGATTTTTAACAATGTAGCTGATGAATTGCTACTTTGGAAGAGAAATTAAAAAAATTTGTTTTATGATAACAAAATCTCACGCTAAAGGTGCATGGGAACGGAATTTGGTGATTAAAACTCAGACAACAGAGATAACAACCTCGTACCCAGGGTCTTTTTACCTCCGCTCCAAGGCCCACGCTGGTACGAGGTTGCAGAGGTAAATTATTCATGACATTCCAGGAAAGTTTACTCACCACAGAAAGCGTCAACTAGGTTGCCAGGTTTATTATAGCTCGCAAATCCAAAATCAAGCAACTTGATTTCACCAGTATCAAAATCATAAAGGATGTTCTCCAATTTCAGATCACGATGAACGATGTTCTTCTTGGACATCGCCAATACAACGTTGACCAACTTCTTCATGCATTGTTGAGTTTCATCCTCGGTGAAGAAACCTCCTACGTCCCACATGAGGCTTCGGAGATCTTTGCAATGAGTCGGTCTTTCGCAAATGATCACAAATTCCTCAGATGATAAAGACTGATAATGATAGAACTTGATGACATTTGGATGATCTTTCATCTTCTTCAGGAAATACACTTCACTTGGTACATCACCGAGGTCTTTATCCTGTTAAAGAACAATTGTAGGAGAATTCGATATCGTTGTTTAGCAAACGAATGACAATTGTTCGATAGGGTGTCCTAGTACAGTACCCGCTTCTATCCGCTGTTTCAAAAGTGGAGGTGCACAATGCGAAAATGATTACTTTTCTTCATGCTACACAAATCTTTGATACGATCAAAGAACCATTGCTGATTTCACGAAATTTTAGGTAACTTAATTTAATTTTGAAATTCAGACTGGAAATTAGATACCTCTTTGATTCAAAATGGCAATTCAACGTCGTCATGAGTGCAAACGGCTAACAAAATTAATCATTTAATATGTTTGCAACACTCAATTTTCACGGACTGTAAGCTATATCATCTCCTATGCCCAAAACTTCAACCTCGTGGAGTTTCAACGACCTTACTGTTACTCACCTTGCGATACTCACGAACCGTTTTATACTTTACAAATTTCAGGGCGACCTAAGAGTAGAAAAAAATTAACCGCTTACATCGATGGTTTTCCTGAAAAATTCAACGGTATGGCTGACAACTAGTAAGATTTGGGCATTTTACTTCATCTCAGAAGCATGGAGGGCAATATGGCAAAAATGCCGAGGAATGTTTGTTTTGGAAGGAGAGACATTTTGTAAGAATTACCGGTGTTTTTTTGGTTCCTTTTATGGCATAACCCTTGAAAACTCCACCAAATCCACCTTCGCCAATCAAGCCATTTTCGATATAGTAGTATGTCACACCTGAAAGTCAAAAGCAATTGCTTGTTAATACAACTAAATAACTAAAGAAATATGTAAAGTAAAATGGATTTTAGAATAAAAAAACAAATGCTAAAAAAATAGGTTCGTGATTTCTATAACGTTAGAATCGACTTGCCTTTTGACTTGCAAACTTCAACAAGGTTTTCCCCATCGACAACTCTAGTGACGCGTGGCACATTTGAAGGTTGGGAAGGTTTGACTTGGCTTTCTTTCATGATTTTCCACTTGATGAGTTTTTCTTTCAAAATGTTACGCTTTCTCTTCACGTCATAGATGCTTGGGAATATAAATTGAAAATTTTTTTAATAGATCTAATTGAGTGTAATGGGAATATTTTAATAAATACAGCTGTTGTTAACTTGTTTGTTTACTTTACGGACTGCATGTAGCTACACCATCTAAATTATCAATAAATACCGCGCCTACCTTTCATTTGTGCTATCTGGAAATGCAGTTGAGCAAGATTGAAGCTATAAACATAAAGAATATCGTTATGGGTTAGTGAGTTGACTTGTGCTTATTGTGTTTCTATTTAATTGCATTAATATCAAAATATTATTGAACAAAAATTTGTTAGAATCAAAAGTACTGAAGTTTGCCGATCTTTCATTTTATTTTTGAGATAAATTTAATCTTCAAAAAGAGTTTTGGATTGTAAGCTGCTCATTTCTTACCATTTGTTGAGACGACTGTGAGATTTGGAAGAGTTCACCGGCAGAATGTTGGTTTCCACTGTGTATTAATGAAAATGAAGAATATTTAGTTAAAGAATGAAAGATGAAGAATATCGCATTTAGAAATTGCTGCCCTATTTTTTACACCTAATTGTCGGTACAAACATGAAGCTAAATATTTGTCGACGTATATAATAGAGGGTGCCCAGAAATATTGCGCTAAGTTAAAGATAGGCGCAAACAGGGGCGTGTTTTAAATTTTGGTCGAGGCTGGCGCGCACACTTAGCAATTTTCCGCGGCCCTTGGATGACCCCACTAAATTCGGCTTAGAAAACGCATCATAAAACCCTCAAACTATAGCACTTTGAAAGACTGAAATCTTAGATAAATAAAATCTTACCAATCCCAGGAATACTCCATGTCAAAGAAGCGTAAAAACTGAAATAGTAAATAGTAAAAAGTCTGGTTAAGTGGAGAGTTGAACTGACTTCTCAAACTCAAACAGCAAAGACGCGCCTTTGAAATAATAACATGTGTTATTTCAATATCTCATAACCATACTACTTCCTAGAATATTTATGCACGGATTTTACAACATCAACTAGAGTAATTTCCTTTGTTTCAAATCATGAATTATATCAGGAAAAATTAGAATACAACCTAAAATTATGCAACTGTTTAGGAGATCAATATACACGTGATAAAAAAGCAAACTTATTTTTCAATTGATAATAAAAAATTCTTTACCTCAGAATACTCCGAGATTTGAGACGCGTTTACGTAATCAAATGAACACTGGACACTACCAGCACTAAAAACGATATTTTGTATTAATGTAGGGGACTTGAAGTGGTAAAAGTCTGTAACCTCACCAAATAAAAGAACAGGTTTATATATTCAGAAGGTAAATCAATTACGTTTATTTAGTCTTATATTACGTAATATATTAAGTTTTACTCATGCATCCCAAATTCAAGCCAGGAATAGTCGAGAAAAAGTTGTCAGGTATCGTTGCCTTGTTAGAATTCAAACCTACGCCTTTGCGATGCCGACATTACCATCGTAAATACACACTAACAACGCTCGCTCCTATGAGCTACCCGTGTAGCTAAAAGATCATTGCAGGCATCATAAAGGAGAAGGTTTGATTTCTGCGGAAGGCCACTTCTCAAGGCATCGGAAAGTTTGTTTTTTCTCCTACTGACACTAGAACAAGTTCAGCATAAACTTAACATCTCCCCCTTGCGTTGAAAGATGAGGTAGCTAAATGAGTAAGAAGCGCTTGTATGGTTTGTCGTGACGCAAGGAATACCTTTTTATTATTATACTTTATAATAAAATATTACGTATTATTATCATCTTATTTTTTCGTATCACAGATTAATAATATTTCCCCAAAATGAAGACAAACACGTGTCAATATAATAAAACATCCTTATGTTATAGCTAGACGCAATGTAAATAAATATCATACCTCAGAGATCTCTCAAACGTTTCTTCTTCAAACGAAAATACTGATTCCTCCTGTGAAAATTAGAACGTTTATAAGCTTATTAAAGTACTGCTTTAATTCCCGATTTCCAATTCATTCTTAAAATCACAGAACCGTCCACAAAAGAAAAACACTAATTCATACCTTATAGGAGATCCGAGAATCATTAGAATTCATATTCCTGGACAGAGGGGAAAGAAAAAATGCATGAATAATGTTAAAAAGTTTTAAACAAAAATTCCCTTAAAAATCGAAGCGCAGTCTTAAACGTTTAGAGAGTGAGAAACATGCAGAACGCAATTCTAGGCCATTCATACGCCTAAATATGAAGATTTTACACAAAAATTCTTATTACAAAGCCGTATACAAGATGTATGAGAGAATTTTTAAACTTTGGCTTATTCATGCACCGTTTAAGCTAAACGCCTTTCGAACAACCGCTACCAGAAAGTTTGCTAAATTTTTTGTCCTACTGACACAAAAAAAAATTCCATGTAAACTTAACATCTCCCCTTGCGTTGAAAGATGAGGGTAGCTAAATGAGTAAGAAGCGCTTGTATGGTTTGTCGTGACGCAAGGAATACCTTTTTATTATTATACTTTATAATAAAATATTACGTATTATTATCATCGTTATTTTTTCGTATCACAGATGAATAATATTTGCCCAAAATGAAGACAAACACGTGTCAATATAATAAAACATCCTTATGTTATAGCTAGACGCAATGTAAATAAAGATCATACCTCAGAGATCTCTGAAACGTTTCTTCTTCAAACGAAAATACTGATTCCTCCTGTGAAAATTAGAACGTTTATAAGCTTATTAAAGCACTGCTTTAATTCCCGATTTCCAATTCATTCTTAAAATCACAGAGCCGTCCACAAAAGAAAATAACTAATTCATACCTTATAGGAGATCCGAGAATCATTAGAATTGATATTCCTGGATAGAAGGGAAAGAAAAAATGCATGATTAATGTTAAAAAGTTTTAAACAAAAATTCCCTTAAATATCGAAGCGCAGTCTTAAACGTTTAGAGAGTGAGAAACACGCAGAACCCAATTCTAGGTCATTCATACGCCTAAATGTGAAGATGTTACTTAAAAATTCTTATTGCAAAGCCATGAATTGACGTGGAACGGGCGTTTGGATTTGCGCGCGCGTTTTATTTGCGCATGCATTTACTTTGTTCGTTGCGCTGAGCTGCCGTATTTTAGTATAATCTTGATTTCCAGTTCTCAAATCAAATCTCAAAACCAGTTTACGTCGTCGCTTTCGACGGTGAACTAAATTCTCTTCCTTCCGAAACTCAAGCGGAACTGTGTAAACACTTCTCTCTGTTTATATTTTATAAATTAAGCCACTTAATAATACGCAAAATGAATTAAAACAAAAAATGTATGTAAACCACAATTATTTTTACACTAAACAATATAATCTTTAATATACTTACATATTTTCTCGATAATTTCAATGTAGAATATTGAACAGCAATATAACAACGCCTTTGAAAACAATTTGCAACGAACTAACTTCGCGAAATGTGAACCTCTCGAAAAATTTCGACAAGTGAGCGGTCCTTTGTTGACGTAGATAATTAATACTTTTGCGCCCGCGAGTTTTGGTGAGCAAGCGAGACATCGAGTCAGCGTTCGTGAATATTGAGAATGTATATTGAAAATGTTATAATATAAATAAGTAGGCTACATGTAATTATGTTGTGTAATTAGGTACATGCTAAAGTATGCAACTTAAAATCTTGCGGTAATGTACAACGATTTCTTAAGCCTTGTTGACTCTTATTTACACCAGAGCGTTCGAAAAGTGCCTATAACATACTCAGTGATTCCCTCTTCAAAGGCGAGTTATCTTGACCCGTTTTAGCCGAACATCAGATTTAAAGTCTTGTTCGTCGTTTCACATTAGGCCAAGTTAAAATGATTTAAAAATTTAGAGCTATAGAGTTGTTAAATTCAAAATTATAATGCATCTTCAGAATGTGTGCTAGGAAGAAGTTCTGTTTTAAAACATTCGGCGGGTTATATAAACTTAGTCAAGGAACCTTTTTCTCAGATTTCATATGGTTGGATTTAGGAACCTATCTACAGGTCTGTACCAATTGTGGCATCGTCTAAGTTATTTTGCTGTGACTTTTCATTCGTGAGTAGGTTCATTTCAAGATTGCGATTTTTGCCCGTGCTCTTTTTCCTGAAGAACTTTAGCAGTTGTTGTCTTGTAGAAGCACGTAAAATAACGAAAAAGATAAACACGAACGTTCCTTGAAGTGAGTTGAAAATGCAAAACAAATACTGGAACAGGAGTTTAGCATCATCAATGGCGAGAATGCCAAAAAGCCAAGTCAAACCAAGCAAGACCATGATCGCTATTCCTTGTCTAGCTTGCTGAAAACCCGATGTTTTGCGGTCAGAAGTAACTTTGGTACCGGAAGTAAGCAATGAATACATGATAAGGCAGAACGCCACTGTATTACCAACAAATATCACAACGGCTGGAGTGAAAAATGCTATAATGAATGGCAAGCCTTGTAGTCGACAGCTATAAAAAGGTAAGAGAGAATTTTTCAATATCAGTTGCTTTATTTGGTGCATACAGATCGATAAAAAGGAAACTATTAAATGTTACAAATTGCTTCTATTTAAAAATAAAATTGAAACAAGTTTTTGGCTTACTAATTTTTGTCGCCATATTTATCCAAAGCTACCACCATTGTAATCGCCACGATGACAGCAGGGGCGCCTGAAATGCAAATATGTCAAAGTATTATACCATTAAATATGCCAATGGACGACATGCACCATTTTTAGTACGACACCACTAAATTAATTTATACAAGTAGCGCATAGATTTGAAATCGGGGTTAATAGACCTTTTCAGCTTGATGCAAATTAACCCATTTCAGATGTTGTGATCATAGAATAGCCAATAAAATAATGTTGTTGTTTGGGTCTGCCTTACTTCATCTAAGGAATAACTTGTACTTCTTAAAAGTCGAGAAGTGCGTTTTTTGCTATTACATCTTTTTGCTATTACTTTTATTTCCCAGAATTTCTATTATTTCAGTCTATGATTAAAGTGAAGCCATTGAGCAATATATACAAAAAAACTCGTTATCTGTGGCATTTCTAATTTTCCCCTACCGGTTATAAATATTTCGGACAAAAACTTACCCCAGGCAAATAAACAGCACCTCATCATGAACTTTGAAGGCGACGAATAAGGAAACACTTTAACAAAAGCTAGATACATATTAAACCCTTCCACGGCCATCCACAAGAATGCTGCTAACAAGAAGTAATGCAAGGCGACTGCCACTGCTCGACAGCCAGATACTGGTGACGTTTTGGGCAACTCGGTATACACCAGGAATACAATTAACAGCAACGACAAAGTAATACAGAAATTTAGCAAAATCTGGCTTGGAATTTTTGTGCGGAGTTCTCTAAATTAACAATAAAAGGTGATAACGGTCATAAGGTGAAAATTAATATAATTATGGCTGTTGTTCCTATGCCAATTTTCTTTGCCTCTCGCGACAAAGAAATTAAGAAATAATTTCACACAGTGCATGTGGGTTCTGTAATGGATCAATTCCAATTTTGGTAAATTTTGTACAAATTCGTGTTTAATACTACTTTATACAAAATTTGCCACAGGAATGGTCCATTGACTGGTATATTTGTAGATTTCTACTAGTATTTGGGGACTGGTATATTTGTAGATTTCTACTAGTATTTTGGCATCAAGAAACGAATGCAACTGTGACTTTAGTGGAAAAGTGTTTATTATAGACTGGTTTAGATAAATAAAAACATATTATTTGATACATCACTTATGGTCGCAGTTGTCACTGTTACCTAAAATGGCCGAGAGAATGGTAGAATTTCTACAACCAAGACAAAACATCTTCTAAGCGTGAAAAAGAACGAGGTCATAATATAAGGGCATAGCTATATCACCTGTTTAATTATTGACAGTACCTGAATAGCAGTATCGTGATTATCGTCAACACCAGTCCAACCAATGACAGCGCACATCCAATAGTAACTGGACTCACTAAGTATTTGGTCATGTGAAGTGTAGGCCCCCACTGGGGGACTAATATCCTGTAAGGATGGAGAAGAACGACTTTCGGTAAAAACTGGTATTTCGTGTTTTATTAGACAAACATGACTGTATCTTGTGTTTTGAATGGGTCGAATCGATGACTTACCATTAACATCGCAAAGTTGGTGAAATGGTTACAGTTACAAAGTACTCTGCCATCTTTAAGGACTCTTTCAAACCAACAACCTTCTTGTGACCAATTTTGAAGACTAAAATCCCAGTAAGAGCACAAAGTAGTATTTGTGTCTCCTGGAAAGGTTCTCTGGAAAGGGATTTTAACAGGCGTCTTCAAATTTGCAACTGGAGTCCTCTTAACGCTCCCAGCAATAACAAAGCTATTCAAACGTCTCGTGGTTTCTGCTAAAGTTGCTTTAAAAAATTTTGCTTCTTTATAAAAGACAAAAAAAAATGTCTTGTTTTCTGAACTCAATGTATTTGTTGATTCATCGAATATTGTTTGTGGAATCACGAGTGATGTCGTTGAAGTGCACTGGAAACATGCATCAAATTTGATTGACGTGTTAATGTTCTCCAAGGACACCTTTTCTGTTCTCCTTACCATCCCAGAAAACGTTATTCCGTTAAACTTTTGCGGTTGTAGTGCTTGCAGATTAATAGCATAATTTCTTTTAACTTTTTTGAATTTGCCTTCTTCATCAAGGGGCAAAGTCTCCGCGAAATCATTCAAAGCTCTGACGATCCTGAAAAGTAACAAAAACGTGGTTTGCCAACTACGAACGGGGATATTTTTCAAACTCTTTCTTATTTTGCAACCAAATTTTCCTGTCTCAGTCACTCATTTAGGATACTTTTTCAGGTGTACCGATGAATTTTTCTGCAGCTTCAAATTTATTTTAAAAATAATATCTCAGGTTGAAGGAGGAGACAAACATTCAACAAAACCTTCCTAAACCTATGGAGGACACCTACACCATAAGCTCAATGCGTCTTAAGTTACAACTTTCCAGTCTTTTTTTCAGGTTTGATAAAATTTATTACCCGTACAGAAATGTATGCTGCATACATGAATTAACGATAATTTGAATGATTTGTCTACCTTGAAGAAGCATTGTGTTCTTGTTGACTTTGAAACACATCTTCCTCTCTATTATCCAAGACATTGTCTACTGTCGTGAGAAAATCGTCAGAAACCTAGGAATTTGCAAACCCAAAACAATTGGACAGTTAAATAAATTTAATATTTTTTACAAAGGCGATTGTTGAAAGTTCTGGCCTCTGATTGGTCGAGATTATTACCTAAGCGGATTTTTAACATCTCAGCGAATAATTATTATATTAAAAACTTATCCTAAAGTAAATATTAAGTTTTTAAACTAAAATAAAACATAAGCAATTTCTATTGTCAATGCTTCGAATATGTGATAGCTAGTTTAAAAAAAAGCACTATCGAAAGGGGAAGTAATGTGCATAAACTTGGAATTACGTAATATGTAACTCATAAAATTGCATATATTGACAATAAAATCTGAAATAACAAACCTGGCTAGATTTCTGTTTGACCTTAACAATTTTCTGTAGTATCGTAGCGATGTTGCTAATGTCCCCAGATTGAAGAGTCTTTTCAGGATTAACGAAGGAAAGATTTCTCACTTCCTGGGTGACATTTACCACGTTTTCTAAATCGACAACTTCCTAGAACAAACAACAATTTAACTACAGCTAATCAAAACATCAGCCTATCAACGTTCAAAGAAGAATCAAACTTTTATTATGTAGTTCCTATAGTCGGCTGCCTTCACAGTAAATTCAAAAGAGTCAAAGCTACCCATTCAATCCACATATTTGGGAATAGCTTTAAACCAGTTATGAATACACAGGGATATCTTTAAATATATTTAAACTATAGTATCAATTTTTATAGTGAATTTTTTTAAAGATCAAGAGGAAACACTAATGGCATCAATATTTGAATATGCTGGAAAGACTCGAAAATACACGCTGCGGATTAAATACCTGTGACAATTGAAAGAGATCTCTGCTTCGCTTGTTTTTATATTGGCAACTACTTGCCACAATCCCACCCCAGATACTTCCACCCTTGGTTTGGTTTGAATGCAAACATTCCCGACTTGCAGTGGACTCGTTGTTATAAGGACAAGCAAGTTTAGAAACTTTTCCAACCGGAGTTTCAGGCCATTTGAAAATGCCATACACTTCATGTGTACCATCTTCGACACTAGGACAAGGACCTTTAAACGAATACAGTCAAATCAGGTTTTAGGAACACCACGCGTATTTGTTATCTCCAAAACTTCCAGATATGAAATTAGGATGTTTAAAAATTTCTTTCCCACTGATATTTCACCTGTGTTAGTACATTCTACTCCAACGCCTTCTGAATGGTTGCAATTATGGTTTCCCCATCCTTTGTGAGAGCAACTTGTTATATTTTGCTCTTCCCCAGTGCAACCAACTTCAGACAGCCAAATTTGACCAGAACCAGAGGGAACCTGGTGACTTCGAATACTTTTAACAGCATATCTATAACCAAGTTGACGACATACAACCATAGCATCTTTTATATCCCATCCATTACCACAAATTCTTCCCCATTGTCCATTGTAGAATACTTCAACACGACCAGTACCATTTTCACTCAATGGTCCTTGTAATCTCAATGAAACAGGCTTACCTACAAAAATTTACGTAAAAATTATGAAAGGGTTCTAAGAAGTCACAAGCCGGTATTTGTCGCGATATTTGTTATCTCTAAAACTTCCAGATATGGAATTAAGATGTGTAAACGTTTCTTTTCCACCGACATTTCACCTGTGTTAGAACATTCTACTCCAACGCCTTCTGAATTGTTGCAATTATGGTTTCCCCATCCTTTGTGAGAGCAACTTGTTATATTTTGCTCTTCCCCAGTGCAACCAACTTCAGACAGCCAAATTTGACTAGAACCAGAGGGAACCTGGTGACTTCGAATAGTTTTAACAGCATATCTATAACCGAGTTGACGACATACAACCATAGCATCTTTCATATCCCATCCATTACCACAAATTCTTCCCCATTGTCCATTGTAGAATACTTCAACACGACCAGTACCATTTCCACTCAATGGTCCTTGTAATCTCAGTGAAACAGGCTTACCTAAAAGAATTTACGTAGAAATTATGAAAGGGTTCTAAGAAGTCACAAACCAGCATTTGTCGGGAAGAGATTTTCCAAGGTAATTATTTTCGAGGATTACAGCGAATTCTCACAATACTTTTTATCCAAATGACCGTATTTAATACATTTTCCTATAATCATAACTGTATACAGCCAGCCTTAGAACAATTCCTCCTATGTTAATATATTGATATTCATTCACTGCGGAAAAAATCAATTTCTATAGGTATCTACAAATGCAAAACAAGTTGTGAAGTTTCGTTACATTGCTTCAAAATCAACTAATTTCGGACATTAACTTGTAAAATTGTCCGTATAAATTATTGTCACGTTTTGAACTAAATCGTCGTCACAGTTGATTTAAATATTGGGCAATTTGTTTCAGGTTCCGGCACAAATTCGCTGTGAAGTTTAAATATTGCATATCACTTGAACGCCGCGAATTTGCACTGCGAATAAACTTTGTATAAATATTTTCGATAAATAAAAGATTCGCGAAATCACCAATTTAGACTATGACTATATCTAGAAATAATAATCCTTAAAGTTTTTACTTGTGTTTGTGCATTCCACTCCAGCGTCTTTCGAATGGTCGCAATTGTGAGATCCCCATCCTTTGTGGAAACAACTTGTGATATTTCGCTCTTTTCCAGTACAATTGACGTTGTCCAACCATATCCGTCCAGTACCAGAAGGAACCTGGCGACTTGGAAGGGTTCTTACAGCATATTTATAACCAAGTTGACGACATACAACCCTAGCATCTCTTTTGTCCCAGCCATCATCACAGATTGTTCCCCATTGTCCATTATAGAATACTTCAACACGACCAGTGCCATTTGCACTTGATGTTCCTTGCAACCTCAGTAGAACTCTCTTACGAGGTGGAACTTTAAAATAAATGCATACAAATATCTGAGATCAGGTATTATTTTTATTATTAGTAGTAGTAATAATTATGTCTACCTAATTTCTATTTAATAAGAAATGAAATAAAAAGACCAATGATTAAAATATATCAATTAGTCCCTCCGCGGGTAATTAGAATTAATTAGAATTAATTAGAATTAATGAATAAATAATCAGAATGAATTTATATTAGCCAATTATTTTATTTGGATTACCTTTGTCTGTTGTATTACATTCCACGCCAGCGTCTTTAACATGATCGCATTTGTGGATTCCCCATCCGCGATGTATACATCGTGTTATATTATCTTCTTCTCCATTACAGTCGATGTCATCCAACCAAATACGTCCAGATCCAGGTTGCACCTCCTCCCTTTGAAGAGATCTGACGGCGTCAGAATAACCAAGTTGACGACATGCAACCCTAGCATCTCTAAAATCCCATTTATCATCACAGATTGTTCCCCAGGTTCCATTGTAGAGTACTTCAACCCGACCGGTGCCATTTGCACTCGATGGTCCTCGTAACCTCAGTGATACAGGCTCATCTAAAAGAACGTGAAAAGATTTAATAAAGTTCATGCTTGTTTTACGTAAATCGAATCATGCAAAATGTAGATCAACCATATCTCTTTCGTACGAAATTTACTATTAATTTATACCAGGTGTGCGGCATTCGACTCCAGCATCTTCCAAATGTGAACAAGGATGAACCCCCCATCCTCGATGAGTGCAACTTGTTATATTCCGCTCTTCCCCTGTACAAAAAACGTTGATTAACCATATCTTCCCGGAACCAGAAGGAACTTCGCTTCTTTTAAGAGGCCTAACAGCATCTGGATAGCCAAGTTGACGACATACAACTCTTGCATCCCTGAAATCCCATCCATAATCACAGATTGCACCCCAGGTTTCATTGTAGAATACTTCAATACGACCGGTACCTTTTGCACTCAGTGGCCCTCGCAACCTCAGCAAAACAGGTTTGTCTGCAAAGACAAACAAGAGTCAGATGTTTGAGCATGGTGATTCAAGGCTAACAATAGTTAAAAACAACGAGCTCTTTCCAACAATGATAAATTCTGTATGAAGTACAGTTGTGTCAAGTAAAGAGGCAAGAAAGAACAGAGTTTGAAGTTTTACCTGTTCTACTGCATTCAACTCCGGCGTCTTCATGATGTGAGCAACCATGAACTCTCCACCCGCTGTGAGGGCAACTTGTTATGTTCCGTTCTGACCCAATGCAGTCCACCTCATTTAACCATATTGGTCCAGAACCATGAGGAACCTGGTGCCCTTGAAGAGCACGAACGGCATCGACATAGCCAAGTTGACGACAAACAACTCTGGCATCTCTGAAATCCCATTCAACATCACAGATTGTTCCCCATTGTCTATTGTGGAATACTTCAACACGACCAGTGCCAATGGTGCTTAATGGTCCTTGCAATCTTAGTGAAGCAAAACTACCTGCAAGAATTTAAAAATAACAATTAACGTCAAGTTATTTTTACCGAATTTTCTTTTCCAACAATGAGATACGAGCCACTAATACAACGTTGAACAATATCTTAAACATTTTAAAAATTGTTCAAAAAATTTAAGGAATAGAAGTCTGGAATTTTTGGGCGAAATTCAAAAGTTTATGATTGTCTTGAAATCAGTGACACAGGCTCATCTAAAAGAACGTGAAAGAATATGAAAAGATTTAATAAAGTTCATGCTAGTTTTATGTAAAGCAATCATGCAAAATGTAGATCAACAATATTGTTTCTGTACGAAATAGACTATCATTTTATACCGGAAGTGCGGCATTCGACTCCAGCATCTTCCAAATGTGAACAAGGATGAACGCCCCAGCCTCGATGAGTACAACTTGTTATATTCCGCTCTTCCCCTGTACAAAAGACGTTGATCAACCATATCTTCCCGGAACCAGAAGGAACTTCGGCTCTTTTAAGAACCCTAACAGCATCTGGATAGCCAAGTTGACGACATACAACCCTTGCATCCCTGAAATCCCAGCCATAATCACAGATTGCACCCCAGGTTTCATTGTAGAATACTTCAATACGACCAGTACCTCTTGCACTCAGTGGCCCTTGCAACCTCAGCAAAACAGGTTTGTCTGAAAGGACGAACAACAGTCAGATGTTTGAGCATAGTTGTTCAAGGCTAACAATAGTTAAAAACAACGAGCTGTTTCCGACAATAATAAATTCTGCATGAAGTACAATTGTGTTAAGTGAACTGCATGCCTTACACATTACAAAATAGGCGAGAAAGAACAGAATTTGAAGTTTTAATTACCTGTTGTACTGCATTCAACTCCAGCGTCTTCATGATGTAAGCAACCATGAACTCCCCACCCGCTATGAGGACAACTTGTTATGTTCCCTTCTGACCCAATACAGTCCACCTCATTTAACCATGTTGGTCCAGAACCATGAGGAATCTGGTGCCCTTGAAGAGCACGAACGGCGTCGACATAGCCAAGTTGATGACACACAACTCTGGCATCTCTGAAATCCCATTCAACATCACAGATTGTTCCCCATTGTCCACTATGGAATACTTCAACACGACCAGTACCAACGGCGCTTAATGGTCCTTGCAATCTTAGTGAAGCAAGACTACCTGCAAGAATTTAAAAACAACAATTAACGTCAAGTTATTTTTACCGAATTTTCTTTTCCAACAATGAGATACGAGCCGCTAATACAACGTTGAACAATATCTTAATCTCAATTCTTTAAAGAATAGAAGTCCGCAGTTTTGAAGCGAAGTTCAAAAGCTTATGATTGTTTTGAAATCAGTTTATTTAGAAAAAAAAACTGTGTGTGCAGTTAATAATGACCAATTTGAAAACGGAAATGAAGACCAATTTTCACCCGGACTGTTTTTCGTTAGTGGAAATGACTACGACTAAATATACACCAGCTTCGAAAGAACACCGAAACATGGATATAAATATAAATTTCTACCAATATTTTTACCAGTGCTACCTACATTCTACCCAAACATCTTTTGAATGATCGCAACCATGTTTCCCCCAGCCTGGATGAATACATCTTGCTATATTTTCTTCGCTTCCAGTACAATCGACGTCTTCTAACCATACACGTCCAGAGCCAGACGGAATCTTCCAACCCTTAAGAGATCTGACAGCATCTGGATAACCTAGTTGACGACACACAACTCTAGCGTCTCTCATATCCCATCCCTTATCACAGATTGTTCCCCATTGTCTGTCGTAGAGTACTTCAACACGACCTGTACCTTTTTCACTTTTTGGTCCTTGTAACCTTATTGTTACCGGCTTACTTGCTAGAAATAACAGGAATATGTGGTTTGGTTGTAAATAGAAAGTTTTGTAGAAGCAGAAAAAAAGTAACTGGATTATGTGAGTGAAAAGAGCTTGTGTACTAGATAAGCCTGGTTTCCATGCAGTAGTAGTTGTCGCGAACACATCAAGGTGGCTGATTCACATGAGTTCCAATGAAGAAAAAAAGCCTGTATTTACTTAATTTATCGATATCAAGCTGAAAATTGGAGTGACATACGATGTGGATGAGTGATTTACCACAAATGCAAAAATGTGGAGAGGGAAGTTTCACAATCATCCTCAAAATTAATTTACCTATAACAAGAGTTCGTGAAATCGATGGGAATATTAGTCACTGGCAGAGATCAAAATAAATGTACCAAATTTATATCAAACTAATTTAAGCATTTGCTACTAACCACTGCCTTTTAAAGGCAAACAAAGATATCGTGACAAGTTAATCCGGTATGGTGCAAACAGGACCTCTGTGTTCAACGAAGGCATATAGGCTGTTCTCTTCTTACCTGTGTTACTGCAATTCACTCCAGCGTCTTCGTGATGCCCGCAATTATTTTTTCCCCATCCAGAATGACCACATCTCGATATATTTTCTTCTCTACCGGTACAGTTGACTTCATCTAACCATATACGTCCTGAACCGTCAATAAGCTGGTGGCCTTCAAAAGATGCGGCAGCATCCAGGTACCCAAGTTGACGACATGCAACCCTTGCGTCCCTCATGTCCCAACGATCATCGCAGATTGTCCCCCATTGTCCATTGTAGAACACTTCAACACGACCAGTACCATTTGCACTCAACGGTCCTTGCAACCTCAATGAACCAGTCTCAACTGCAAAAACTTGGGAAATTACCCACGTGTAAGTTGTTAAAGCTTTTTCCCAAATAACAGCGATGCTTTATAAAGAAAGTATTATAATTTCTTCCTACCTTTGCAACGACGTAACACAAGATTTATACTGAGAAATGCGACCATTATGAAATCAATGCTCGTCATCTTGTAGACTGGTAAAGAGTAAAATATAAATGCATGTTAGTTGCATGGAGCAGACACCGCAGGAATTCTATATTAAGGATAAATTGTAGGATAAATTACGACATAATCATCTACAGACTACAGACACAACTGAAAGCTGACTTTCAAAATGGCTGCGACTTTTTTTGTCAAAGTGACAGAAGAAGAAATGAGTAAAATCAGAAAAGATCCTGCCAGTACGTAAGGGAAAAAATAAGCCTTGACTTTTTTTTGAGATACAAAAGTACGTTGTAGAACGCCACTTACCACTGACACTAATCGCTTAAAACTTTTTTTAGATTGCTGAAAAATTGTATGTCGCCATATTTGTTTGCATGCAGGTACGTTAAGTTGTGTAAGGCCGTGTCTACACGATGACGGAGGAATTTGAAAACACAAAAATATTTATCTGTTAAAATATTTATCCGCGTCCACACGTAAACACAAAAACGATCCGAAAACGCTAAAGTTATTTGATCCCGCAATACACCTTCATGTTTTCCACCCGCGTGTCACAGGTTGGATGTCGAATTCAAAGCAGAAATCTACCAAATCCAAAGTGAAACACAAGAATGAGGACTTGGACAGTTGACAGCCCGAACTTATAAATATTGTTGTTGAGTGCTATTAAATGCATATCGTTTATAAGATATTGTGTATAACCATACTCGGAAATTTTGGACATGTTTCTCTCGTAAAATACTTCCGCAAATGCTAAAAGAATTGGCGAAGATTTTACTCACCATGAAAATAAACGAAATAAGACTTATTTGAGGCTAATATAGCAATATAAAGTTGAGCATATGCCACAAGACGTGAAACGTCATCGTTTCCAAATTTATCCGGCAAAGCTGCATGTCCACACGTATCCGCTCAGCTGTCGTTTTCAAATTCTTCCACTCTGGAGAGCGTTTTCAGATTCTTCCGTTTTCAGTGGACGAAAACACAGAATACGTGTGGACGGTACGCGTAACCGTGGGAATATTCTTGCGTTTTCAAATTCTTCCGGCGTCGTGCGGACGGGCCTAAAAAAACGCGGCCTTCGTTGCGTCACACATTAAAATAAAGTTTATGCAATATGAAAACGGTCATGACGTTCAATCGTTTGTCAGAAAACGACAACTTTAAACAAAATTAATGACACTTACATCTGTACAATATATTATCTCTTCCCATGAACTGTCATGCATTAAAAGGAATTAAAGTAAATTACTTTTTAGTGGAGGTGAATCGCGCATACAAATTATCTTATACTGAGCTCATCAGAGATAGCTCATCATTACATATCAGATTAACACTTTGAAAATAACGGCACTCATTTACTTAAACCGTAGACTATCAGTCGAGTCTTTTTAAGCGGACGCAATATATAGTAATCATAGCAATATCACACTAATGATTACGACAAATATGCACATCAAAAGTATGAAACTATACATGTAATGCATTCTGTATTGTTTGAAATAATATACTCTTGCCATTGCGTCGATTTAAAATAATGTATTTATTCACAACCAGAAATTCAGGACATTATTTACCATAAAAGTTCATAATGCCCGATAGTGCCAGGATTTCGCAATCAAGATGGCTGCCTTGCTCTAATAGAATTATATAAAGCACGAGACAAAATTTGAAATTAAAGCAACTTCGGTCCAACATATAGCAGTTGCGAAGCTTGATTTAAGACGGGCAAAAACTGTTATGACATTTTTTCATATTTTATATTACCTTTAACAGGTTCCCCAGTAATGTCATTTCAGCAACTATAACTATGATATATACTTGCAATATATGTCATAACAGAACTGAGTTTCTCTCCATTTTAAATCAATATATATGACCGAAGTTGCTTTAATTTCAAATTTTGTCTCGTGCCTTATATAATTCTAAAATAACAAGGCAGTCATCTTTGATTGCGAAATCCTGGCATATTATGAACTTTTATGCTAATTAATCTCCGGAATTTCTGGTTATGTACTTTGCGATTTCTCAAAAGAATGCATGACACGATTTCTCAGCTCTTGCATAGATGAGTATGTTTTCAAATGGCTTCCCGACATTTCATATAAGGAAATACCCTGATCAAGTATAGGAAAAGATGTGCAATGATATTGTTCAACCGTACAGCCTCGCCAATTTGGAAAAATGAATAATTACTCCGCCTGCGTATGCGCAGCGGAGTCTTAAAATGCCATGGTCTTTTTTCCTTTTTGTCGTTTTGGGCGACAGAAGTTGGCATTTCTACAGGTAACCCAAAACATTTTGACCGAGAAGCCCTGGGTTACACGGTCCACGGATGAATTAGGTACATCAGTTGGCATGCAGGCGGAGTGAACGCCTTGAGCAGGCGTCTTGTTCATACTATAATGACAGACGGTATGTACACATTATTGTACGTTCCTGCCTTTGGTTTAAACGTTTTTTTGTCATGAAGTTGGCACCTTTGGATGAAATTGGATACCACATATCAGTTTTGAAACCACGGAGTAGTTGAAAATTCAAACGGGCTATAAAATTGCGAACTATTCATCTAAGTTATAATTAAGTTGATGACGAATAGAATTGCATTCACATTGTTTGCATTGCGAAACAAGTTGACTGTTAATTATCACCGTGTTATTCCGACAGGTAGTGGTGGAGTCACGGTATAATTTAAACGTAAATACCGATGTATAATTACCGTGAAATTAGGTTGACCGAATTGATTCTCAAGCTTATAAATCTGAAAGCTCATGTGCACTCCAAGAGCCGCGACTTGCATAAAACCACTCAGTCAGTAGCTAACTATATAAGTAGCTATGGTCATAAATAAATAGCTGGAAGTGGGGATATTATACAGAAAAAAGTATGGTCGAAAATGTGATTGCAGGGCAACCTTGTCTTACATTATTTTCAAATCATATTGTTCGAGTGATTTCCATTCAGGACATGATAAGCCTAAAAGTCTTACCTAACAAGGAATAGCTGGTCATCGACACTGAATAGTAGCTTCAAAATACAAGAGTTAATAAAGCATTCCTTGCTCAAATTCCAATTACAAAATTGCCCGCGTACTGTTTGTAAAAAAGTATCGAATTACGTACTTTATTCCCAAACCAAGCTCCAGCTTTGAATCACGAGAGTTGGGACAACGTAACGAGATACTATCCAACACGTAAACTCTCTGAGGTCTTGTCTCTGGTTCGTACTTCGAATTTTGTTCCCGTCGGATCCATGCCAACTGCTAAGGTAATCTGATATCACATGAAGAGCCTCGTTATATACTTCATTATCATCTCATTAGCTATTGTCCCTCTTGTGACTGAAGTGCTAGGTCTGTGAAGGGCTGAGAAACTGCCCTGGCCTACAGTCATATTCGAACATGATTTCGTCGCATGAAAATAGTTTATCGACGCTTGGTCGCTTTGGCCTGTTTAGTCGTGGCCTACCAACATAGATGACCACGGTTTTCAGGGCAGAAACTAGCAGACGTTTGTTTGAACAACGAAATTCTAAGTGATGCGTAGGCCTGGATTAAGTCTGTAGTATCACCGTTGTTTATTAAAGACACGCCTCAAAAGATTACCATAATTATGCATGACAAAGATCACTTTCCAATGGCACGGTCTGATAATCTTCCGTCATCCTGCTGTTATTAAAGAATTCCGTACACTAGCTCCTTCTAGGAAAGCGATGCTCACGCCGTGCAATTCTTAAGGTCGACACGGCAGACCGGACGCGATGCGGCAACGCGACGCGAATTCCCAGTTTTCAAGAAGCACATAAGTTAATTTTTGGAAGCAAAATTTTGAATTGATGGACGCCAGAGTAGTCAAAATGTACTATCTTTAAGTGATGTTCAAGAATATAATAACAGTTTAAAATTTATTTGCTTTTGGTAAATGAAAGGCCGCGTTGCCAAATCGCGTCCGGTGTGTGTGGGCTTTTAGCTGATTTTCATATTTGAAAATAGACCTGTTTCGTTGACTGCTGTGTTAATATATCAGTCATTATCGATAATTATCCTGCACGGTTTTCTAAAGATCTACATATCTTTTGTCACAACTACAAATACTATAACAATATAATGATGCTTTATTGTTCATTAATCACTGTCCGTGAATAAAATTTTCCCTCCCGCTTCGCTAAAATTAAACGAAGCGTGGGGTTACTTTGAGGTATTGAAATTACTACATAACATGATCCTTGCAGTCGTGTAGTCATTCCGTCAATAGCATACGCTAGCTTATTTTGTTTTATATACTCATTTCAATACCTCAAAATCATCTCACTTTTTTTATCCCACACTTTTTAGAGATATCTCTAACTTTCAAAAGTTTTGAAAGAAAACATTCGTTAAATCCCGAACATTACATTGTTTGATTAATTATACAAGACTGAAAACGTCGGGGTTTTTTATTACGTGTATGTCGGACGTTTTTTCTATAGGATGGGATATCAGACTGAGAGTTTGACATTTTGTTTGAAGATATTGAAGCTGAGTTTTCGTTTGCAGACGGTTAGTACAAGTCTATGACGTGCATGGGTGTCAATCAAACCGTTGATTGAGCGTCGATGTTAATCGGCCAAGTTCATATATTCAGCTATGCCTGGCTATCCTTTTCTTGAGAACAATATTTCACCATTAATAGAAATCAGTCTGGCATTAGAGAAAAATTAATATGGTCAATTAACGTTCGATTGACGCCAATGATGACGAATGAATATTGTGTTGTCAATAATTGAATGCTTTCTGTGTTCACTTTTGCTTCTGGCGGCATCTCATCCGCAAACTTTCCCCTGACTTGTGATAGCCCACATCACAAGAGAGATGCCTATCACAAACTTGCTTCAAAATTGTGTTTTAAGTAAACAAAAAAAACCCTGAATGATAATAATAAAAAACATGCGACGTGTACAGCACGTAGCCAGACCTCTCTTGAAATGGGTATATGTGTCGATTTCATAGTACAGCTGGATGCTTTGCTATTCAGTTAAATGTGTGGATCGGAGAGTTTTGAAGTACTCCGCTAAGAACACCTTTCATTTTTAAGAGATATTATATCTTCTTATGATATTTTTGTCGGTTTATATATTGCTATACTTCCTGTCTTATCGTAGTTTGTCCATCCATTTCCTAATTATTATTGTCATGTTAATATATTTTCATGTCATGTCTTTATATATTTTCATGTCATGTCAATTATTTTCCTTCGTCGCAAGTGTGTTTTGGCGCGAAATATACTAGCATTTGAAAACTCACCGTCGTCCCCAGGGCCTAACTCTGTGAGAGCAACGGAGCCAGGCCCTGGGGACGAGGATGTTGAAAACTGAAATGCTCATTTGAACCCAAGACTTGACTGGATGCGACGCTCATTGAAGAGCGTATGTGACCGTATTTATCTACGTCAAAGTTTTGTCTCCCAAGAGTTGTGGTGCACCACTCGAAATCTTTGGCGAATTTTCCGATGGCGCGATTTGATTTCGCTCGCATGATACAGCAATTCATCCAAGAGGAACAAATAAACCACTCTTTTGATGCTGTTCGATTAAGTTTAGTTTTAATTGGGGTGAGAATATATTTAATACATGTAGATTCTGGTTGATTTTAACAATATCGCTGAACTTCTATACTTTTTAAAGTACGACGTGCTTCTGAATGTCGAACAAGATTTAGCAGGTTCTCAACACTTCTATACTTTTAAAACACGGTGTGTTGTCTGAATATCAAACAACATTTAGGTTCGCAAGGCTTCTAAATCAATGAGTATAAACTGCAGTGTTTATATTCACAAGCTTTATCTTCAAGGGACGTGCGGCACGCCGGAGTTGACGCCAGAGCAGGCGTCTTGTTTAATATTAGATTTTTTAGCCAATCACTGCTTTTACCCGAAGCATCTATTGCGAAACCAAAAAAGCGGATAATTTCACCGCATTTTTAAAAGTCAGAGTTTAAACGAGATTTATCAAATAAAATCTCTTTTGGCAAAGAAATATTGATAGTTTTAGAGTGGTGGCGCCTGATAATTTTGTCTTGCTTTTCTATTATGGTGGTGTTCATTGACTCTGAAAACAATGAATTTTTAAAGGAATGAATAATGATCATAACTAAAATTTTCATAGCATGACTACAGCGTGATTATAGTGGCTGCTCCACTCACATTATTGGGAGAAATTTAAGAATTTATTGGGAGAAACGGTTTCATAATCGCCAAAAATCCAACGAAAGTGATAACAGAAGAGCAGAAGTACATTGAGTACTCTTTATATCAACTTTAATAAACACTGATACTTTAATTAAAAACTACATAATTATTTGTAATATGTTTTTTAATTCACCAGACAAATATGCACGCACACGCCGCACATATAGGTTTTGTTAAACATAGTAGAACTACTTAACTGTATATTAAAAGGGTCATAAAAAAGCCGTTTCACGTTCGATTTGAAATAGCTTTCTTATGATAGTTTTAGCCCCTTTTCATTTACAGTGTTATAATTATTATAGCCTAAACCGCAGCGCCATTTCGCATCTAAGTCCCACCAAAGAAAAAAAAGCTTATACCTATACTAAATACAGGATATCTAAACTTACAACAGGTAAAATTTATTCTTACGTTTTATCAACCTCGTGCCCAGGACCTTCTCGTAGTAAGGAAGTAGAAGGGCCTGGGAAAGGCTGCCCACGTGACCCTATTTTTTTGGGGAATTCGGTGAATTCCAGGGCTTTTCCTTCCCCCTACGATAAGGCCTAGGTACGAGGTTGACGTTTTTTTATGACGTTTTCCAGGAAAATGGTTACACGTTTGCAACAGTGTTACGTGTATGAGGTATGAGAGAACGCTCCTCTTTCATCTGCTTTAGTTGAAGATCGCGACGTTGGACTTGTGTCTTTTTCCGAGCAAACTTTCGAAGTTGTTGTCTTGTACCAGTGGGTAAAATAACAAAGAAGATAAACACAAACAGGCCTTGAAGTGAGTTGAAAATGGCAAACAAATACTGAAATACGACTTTAGTATCGTCAATCGCAAGGATGCCAAAAAGCCAGGTCAAGCCAAGAAGAACCATAATCGCAATTCCTTGTTTAGCTTGCTGAAAACCCGATGTTTTGCGGTCAGAGGTAACTCTCGTACCGGAAGTGAGCAATGACCGAATGATGAAGCAAAAGGCAACGATATTACCAGTGAAGATCACAACAGCTGGAGCGAGAAATGCCACAATGAATGGCAAGCCTTGCAGTCGACAACTAAAAGAATAAACAATTCCCATATAACCTTTCCATTATGTTCTTCCTATGATTGCTAACTTTGAATTGAATTAAAGAAACTTCGTTATTCTGAATATTGTCAGTGGTCGCGGAAAAATCGATGAATTATCGGCTAGCATTCATATATTCCTGTTAACAAACCGTAACGGAGAGAGCAACTGGACACAATAATATATGACAATATACGTTAACGAGAATACTCATTTCAAGTCTACTTACTAATTATTGTCCCCATATTCATCCATGGCAACCACCATTGTAATTGCTACTATTATACCAGGAGTTCCTAAAATGTACCAGGCATTATTAGGACTATTTAAGACAAATAATAATAATTATTATATAACAGTTTAAAAGCAAAACAATACAATTGTCTTACTAAAGACTTTACTCAGTCTTTGCATTATTGCAAAACAATTGCTGTAAACAAAACTTTTTATGTTCATTGAGACAACGTGTTATTAAATTTTGAAACGTTTTGTAAGTTATTTACAAAGTCACATCATGTAATTTATATCTTTCAAATAACATGTATATAACGTGTGTTCTGACTTGTCGAAACCCATGTTTGGATCAGGCCATACAAACACAGAAATTGATTTCCTTATTGAAATCAAAAATAGAACACTACCTTTATGTTGCTATTTTATAAAACAATCACTTAATGATTTCCCGCGTTTGGACGGCCTGATCCAAACACTTGGCAATGTTGCCTGAGTTAGGAAAAGCTCGCAATATCACTCGTCTTCGGCTGTTGTTTCGCGCGCTTTTCTTACAACTCTCGCAACATTCCTGCGTGTTTTGATCAGGGACATGTCGCAGCACTCGAAGGCTTTCGTCCAATTGGATAATAATTTTCTATGCTTTTTAAAGAACGAAGCTATGCTATTGGTTGAAACAGAAACTGTATTGTAATGTTCAGCCTATGAAAATCATTCTTGCAAGGAGCTGCGACACTACTCTTTGATCAAGCCATCCAAACACGGAAACCACTACGTAACTGTTTAATACAAGCTCTTCCATTTCCTCGTTATAATATATTTACTAAGACGTACCCCAGGCAAATAAACAGCACTTCAGCATGAACTTGAATTGAGACGAATAAGAAAATACTTTAACAAAAGCCAGATACATATTAAACCCTTCCACAGCCATCCACAAAAACGCTGCTAACAAGAAGTAATGCAAGGCGACTGCCGCTGCTCGACAGCCGAACACCGGCAATGTTTTTGGCAACTCGGCAGAAACCAGGAAAACAATCAGCATTAATGCCAACGCGATGCAGAAGTTTAACAAAATCTGGCTTGGAATTTTCGTTCGGAGTTCTCTAAACAGGGGAAGTGAAAGTTTATTAATTTAAAGAGTATTAGTTGTCTTTATTCAGTGTCTTATTTGAATTAGCTTTTAGAATTATGATGAAGTTCCATATCAGATTTTCGTATCGTGTTTTATTTATGAAATATTTCACTAAAATTAGCTAACTGTCCGCCATCTTGGATTATCACGGATATGCATTATACGTCACATGTGGGATCACGTCATCAACATTTTTCTACATAGTTTGGAATATACTAAATAAAAGTAAAATACAAGTTATACAACTCATTAACCATGTTATTGTTCAGGGGCCGGTTGTTCGAAAGGTGTTTAGCTTAAACGGTGGATAAGTTCAAAATGGAAAACCAAATTATCTATTCATTGAACAACTGAGCTGAAATATTTCGATGTAAATAGTTTAATTGTCAATGAAAGTGCGTATTAAATGCATAAGATGCAGGTTCAGTCATTCGCAAGATCTATGAGAGTATTTTTAAACTTTGGCTTATCCCCAGGTTTATGCAAAAAATGTTTCCTTTCTCGTGACGTGTCTATTGTATTTTAGCCAAACGTACCAATGGCATTTTTTTAAAAGACTGCCATTGGTTTATCTGTGGAAAATACAATAGATATGTGATGAGAAAGCGACATTTTTTGGCATAAATCTACCTCAACATAGTTAATGAGTTGTATTGTAGTCTGATGCGGTCTCCAATCATGTATATTCTATTAACTGTGCACAAACATTCACCAAAGTAACTAGGCTTGAAAGTAAACTTGAAAAAGATCCCATAGACCAAGTCTGCATACTTATTCTATTCGCTAGAAGTAATTCTAAGCCAGCTTGTGACGTAATCAAAACTGTAGTTAATGAGGCTAGAAAGTAATCCAAGATGGCGGACAGTTAGTCACAATATGACAAAATTAATGTGAAATAGAACTTTATCATAATTTTTAAAATTACTTCAAAGAAGACATTAATGCCCATACGTTGTAATGATCAAAAGGAAAGATTGTGTGAAGCGACAATTCTTAATGGCAAGTAATAGTTTACATTACCTCAATATTGTAATCGTAATAATTGTCAAGATGAGACCAAGCAATGAAAGCGCGCAACCAATAGTGCTAACTACACTAAGTATTCTGTCATGTGTCGTGGCCTCTGCAGGTGGGCTGATGTCCTAAAATGTAGAAAAAATCAAAATATTCAGTTCAATATTTACAAGAACTCTGATAAAGAAATAATTCAATGCCTTTTCTCACTCACTTCATGCACTCACAACTGATTACCTATTATTGGTTACGTTATATCTCTTTAAAAACTAATTTTATTACTTACTTCATATTGAAGGTTTTATTATCTTCCTGTCTCGTTCCAAAAATTTTTTCTATTCATTTCGCAAATGCAGGGATCGAAAAAATTCTAAACGCTCTAAACTCTAATACGTTTTTTTTTGGAGCAATCGCTCCTTTTTTCATATCTTGCACATTGTGACGACTTACCATCAGCATTGCAAAATTGGTAAAATGGTTACAGTTACAAAGTACTCTGCCATCTTTAAGGACTCTTTCAAACCAACAACCAACTTGTGACCAATCCTGAAGACTGAATTCCCAGTAAGAACACAAAGTACTGTTCAAGTCCCCGGGAGAAATGCTCTGAAAAGCGATTTTCACAGGTACCTTTAAATCTACAACTGATACGTCCTTAATATCCACAGAAATTACGAAACTATTCAAACGGCTCAAGGTGTTTTCATTCGTAGTGAAGAAGTTTGTTTCTTTATAAAAGATAAAAATGAATGTGCAGTTTCCTGAACAGTTTGTAACAGCTATTTCGTCGAATATCGTTCGTGGAATAATTAGCGAGGTTGATAAATAACTTGGAAGACTGGCGCTGGATTCGACTGAAATGCTGTTTTCTCCAAAAGACTTTACTTCACGTTTCCAATTAATCCCAGTCCCAGAAAACGTTATCCCGCTAAAGTTTTGTTGTTGTATAGCTTGAAGATTAAGAGCGTAATTCTTTTTGACTTTTTTAAACGTGCCGTTCGGATGAAGGACTAAATTATGAGCAAATTCATTCAAAGCTCGGACGATCCTGCAATCCCCAAAAAAATTAACATAGAAAATTAGAAATGTGCCATGTTATTTCTCTTCAAGAGCGAAAGGGCAAGAATTTCGCGCGATGAAATTAATGTCGTCTTTTATTCGAAGAATTCACCCATGATATTGTCTATCTACAGTTACAGAATTGAACTTTCAGTAAAGGAACATTGTCCCTGCTTGCCACATTTTTACAAAAAAATTAAAGAAAAAATGTGTTTAAATGTGTTTCCACACATTGGCTACAAACAGCTCGAAACGGATTCGTTTCTTAGTTTTTTTTCTTGGTTCTTAGTTCTTATTTTAGTGCATGTGAATCTAATTTTTTGACGCCGAATTAGTGCAGAGAAGGCTAAATTTACCAAAACGACACTGCAAAAAGTAAGAAAAATGCAAGGAAAAAGTTTGAAGCCCATTTGAAGTCTTGGAATTGCCAACTTTCAGCGACAAAAAGTTTGAAATTTGAATATAACTATATGAGGTGATGGACAAACTCACGGATTCGCGCTTCAGAAAATTCTTCAAAGTTAAATAAGACCAGAAATATTCCTGCAAAATTGCAACCGTTTTTTATTGATATATCTACCTGGAAGAGGAATTGTGTTGCCGTTCACTTTGGATGATATCTTCACCCTTATTACTTAGGACATTGTCTACTGTCGTAAGGAAATCTTCAGAAATCTGTAAAATATATGCAAAATATAATACAATTCGACAGTTTGCATTCGTATGAAAGAGAGCATATCCTAAGAGGAAAATCTTGACCCAATCAAGACGAAAAAAACTCTATAGGTCTGTTCACACGATCCAATTTTGTTGGATCCAATTCACTTCTGATTGATGTTTAATAGCCTGTTGACTTGCAATGAATATAGTCCGCAAATCCACTGAAGCTAATTTGGTATTGCTTTATCGATAATACATACATCCCATAATTATACGTCAAAAGTGAATTTCATCCAACAAAATTAGATCGTGTGAACAGACGTTAAAAGATTAAACTTATACGAATAGGGATTAAATTTGACTACTAAACTTCGAATATATCATTCTCTAATTCCTATTCTGTCATCTCAATTTATTTAAAGATAGCCAGACGCACACCGGAGCTATGAGCTGAGCTTAAGGTCACTCGTGACGGTTGGCGTAAGCAGGTTTCTCTAGTCTGCGGTGGCGATTTGAGCCCTTTCCCGCACGCGTTCCATCTGCGCCAGATATTCAACATGTTCAATTTTTATTTGGAGTTTGTGTTGTTTTACTTTTTATCAAATTGCCGGTTGGTAAAGAAATGTATGAAGTAACAAACCTCGTTAGATTTCTGTTTGACTGCCACAATTTTCTCTAATGTTTTTGCGATATTGGTAATTTCTTCAGCTTGAGAAGTTCCAATCTTCTCGGGATCAACAACAGACAATTCCTTCAGTTGTTCGGTGGCAGTAACCACGTTTCCGGTATTGATATCTTTCTAAACATAAATTCCAGCATTCAATGACTCAGGAGTCGATGCTTCTAATCTAATTGGGCGCAGTAATTTCAAATGAAAAGTGAATGAACACAAGACAGGCAATTAGGGGAAAGATAGATAGTACATACGTCGTTTTAATTTGGCACCCTTTTGTGGCTAAGAAAAGTAACATGTAGAAAAATATCATGCAGTTTAGATTTCATATTTACAGAATTAAGTTATTCTTAATCGCTTATAATCCACGTTATTTTGCCGACGTTTAACTACCTGTGACAATTGAAACAGATCTTTGCTTCGTTTGTTTTGAAATTTGCAACTACTTGCCACAATCCCACTCCAGATGCTTCCACTCTTGGTTCGATTTGAATACAAACATTCACGACTAGCGGTGGACTTGTCGTTGTAAGGACAAGGAAGTGTTGCACTTTTTCCGACTGGTGTTTCAGGCCATTTGAAAATGCCAAATGCTTCGAGTGTGCCGACTATATCGCTAGGACAAGGACCTTTAAAAAGACAAAGTGGGGAAAACTGTATCAAAATAGTCATACAATATTAGAGTATAAGATATCATATCTCATTCACTCGCAATGTGTTCTACAGAAAATCTGAAACGATGTTACCGGGAGCAAAAACTGTTTTCAAATACTGTGAACCAAGGCATGAACGAAAAACTCGGTTTGTCGTATCCGTACTTTATATACCACCCAGGTCAATATTTTACAAGAACATTGTCAGATATACGGGATGTCGTCTCTGAGAAACAGTAAATTCAAAATTCAAATCAGCAGCTACAATTGATTGTGTTTACTTGATTGTTGTGATTTCCTTGACACTATGCATTTACACTATACACCGGATTCTTATGATCACAATATCTGTTCAAGTTGCTTTACGGTATCTCTGCACGCAAAAAATTTTGATTTGATCATGTGAAAGCAGTCATATTATCATACTTTTCGGGTCAAACTCGCTTGATGTCATGAAATGTGAAATCAAAATGTACAGTCGTAAAATTGTAAAACAGTCAAGAGATTTAGACCGATATTTAAAACGTTTTGCTAAAACACCTATAATAACGAAATTATTACAAAAAGTGAAATTATCAGCACACGTGCACGCATGCTATACCTGTGTTAGTGCATTCAATTCCAACGTCTTCCAAATGCACGCAACTATGGTTTCCCCATCCATTGTGAGAGCAACTTGTTATATTTCGCTCTCTTCCATTGCAAGCAACGTCGTTCAACCATATACGCTCAGAACCAGGAAGAGCCTGCCTCCAATGAAAATGTCTGATGGCATATTTATAACCCAGTTGACGACATACAACTGTAGTATCTCTCATATCCCATTCATTATTACAGATCGTTCCCCATTGACCATTGTAGAATACTTCAACACGACCAGTACCTTTTGCACTATTTGGTCCTTGTAACCTAACTGAAACAGGGTTACCTGAAAGAACGTAAAATATATAAAGGTATATTTGGCGGATATAGCAGTTTTTACGATAAATAAACGATAACATTTTTCTCGTACCGAGTGCCAGTAAATTGACTGTATCATAAACTTAGCCTGGACGAGGTATTCGGCACGGAAAAACATTTGAAGTATATATTATTAAAAAACATTGAAGTTTCAGTTGGTGATTGGTAATAAATCGGTAGCGGAAAACAGATATTTCGTAACTTCACCTGTTTTACTACATTCTACTCCAGCATCTTTCGAATGATCGCAATTATTTATTCCCCATTCGGAACGAGAACATCTTGATATATTCTCTTCTTTTCCTGTACATCTGACGTTAGCTAACCATATCTGTCCAGAACCTGATGGAACCTGCCCCCCTTGAAGAGATCTGACGGCATCTGAATAACCAAGTTGACGACATACAACCTTAGCGTCTCTAAAATCCCATCCATCATCACAGATTGTTCCCCATAGTCCATTGTAAAATACTTCTACTCGACCAGTACCATTTTCACTTGAAGGCCCTTGTAATCTCACCGAGACATTTGAAGCTTTAAAAAGAGAAAAAGTATTCGAGTACGCAGATATAATGATAGAAATTAAAATAGGTATAAAAACGTTTCATGACCAACTAAACGTCATTGGCAGTTCAAGCCGATGGAAAAAAATGCAAATGCTTCCAACGATTTAAAATGTTCAAAGTGGGGAAAACTGTATCAAAATAGTGATATACAATATTATAGTACAAGATATCATATCTTATTCACTCGCAATGTATTCTATAATTATAAGCTGTGGTATAGAAAATCTGAGACGATATTACCCGGAGCAAAAGCTGTTTTCAAATACTATGAACCAAGTCATGAACAAAACACTCTGTTCGTACTGTCCATTGATTGTTGTGATTTCCTTGACCCATGCATTTACACTACACACCGGAGTCTTATGATCACGATATCTGTTTAAGTTGCTTAACGGTATCTCTTTCCGCAGAAATATTTCATTTGATCATGTGAAAGCAGTAATATTATCATACTTTTGGGGTCAAACTCGCTTGATGTCATGAAATGTGAAATCAAACAGTACACTCGTAAAATTGTAGAATAGGGAAGAGAGTTTGGACCGATATTTAAGACGTCTTGCTAAAACACCTGTAATAACGAAATTATTACAAAAAGTGAAACTATCAGCACACTCATGCTATACCTGTGTTAGTGCATTCAATTCCAACGTCTTGCGAATGCACGCAACTATGATTTCCCCATCCATTGTGAGAGCAACTTGTTATATTTCGCTCTCTTCCATTGCAAGCAACGTCGTCCAACCATATACGCTCAGAACCAGGAAGATCCTGCCTCCAATGAAAATGTCTGACGGCATATTGATAACCCAGTTGACGACATACAACCCTAGTATCTCTCATATCCCATTCATTATTACAGATCGTTCCCCATTGGCCATTGTGGAATACTTCAACACGACCAATACCTTTTGCACTCTTTGGTCCTTGTAACCTAACTGAAACTAGCATACCTAAAAGAACGTAAAATATATTAAGGTATATTTGCCGGATATAGCAGTTTTTCCGATTAATGAAGGATAATATTTTTCTCGTACAGAGTGGCAGTAAACTTGCTATAGCATTAATTTAGCCTGGACGAGGTATTTGACACGGAAAAACATTTCAAGTATATATTATTAAAAAACATCGAAGTTTCAGTTGGTGATTTGCAATAAATCGGTAGCGGAAAACAGATATTTCGTAACTTCACCTGTTTTACTACATTCTACTCCAGCATCTTTCGAATGATCACAATTATTGATTCCCCATTCGGAATGAAACATGTTGATATATTTTTTCTTTTCCTGTACATCTGACGTCAGCTAACCATATTTGTCCAGAACCTGATGGAACCTGCCCCCTTGAAGAGATCTGACGGCATCTGGATAACCAAGTTGACGACATAAAACCTTAGCGTCTCTAAAATCCCATCCATCATCACAGATTGTTCCCCATAGTCCATTGTAAAATACTTCTACTCGACCAGTACCATTTTCACTTGAAGGCCCTTGTAATCTCACCGACACATTTGAAGCTTTAAAAAGGGAAAAACCATTCGAGTGCGCAGATATAATTATAGAAATTAAAATAATGATAGAAATTAAAATAGGTATAAAACGTTTCATGACCAACTAAACGTCATTGGCAGTTCAAGCCGATGGAAAAAAATGCAAATGCTTCCAACGATTTAAAATGTTCAAAGTGGGGAAAACTGTATCAAAATAGTGATATACAATATTATAGTACAAGATATCATATCTTATTCACTCGCAATGTATTCTATAATTATAAGCTGTGGTATAGAAAATCTGAGACGATATTACCCGGAGCAAAAGCTGTTTTCAAATACTATGAACCAAGGCATGAACAAAACACTCTGTTCGTACTGTCCATTGATTGTTGTGATTTCCTTGACCCATGCATTTACACTACACACCGGGGTCTTATGATCACGATATCTGTTTAAGTTGCTTAACGGTATCTCTTTCCGCAGAAATATTTCATTTGATCATGTGAAAGCAGTAATATTATCATACTTTTGGGGTCAAACTCGCTTGATGTCATGAAATGTGAAATCAAACAGTACACTCGTAAAATTGTAGAATAGGGAAGAGAGTTTGGACCGATATTTAAGACGTCTTGCTAAAACACCTGTAATAACGAAATTATTACAAAAAGTGAAACTATCAGCACACTCATGCTATACCTGTGTTAGTGCATTCAATTCCAACGTCTTGCGAATGCACGCAACTATGATTTCCCCATCCATTGTGAGAGCAACTTGTTATATTTCGCTCTCTTCCATTGCAAGCAACGTCGTCCAACCATATACGCTCAGAACCAGGAAGATCCTGCCTCCAATGAAAATGTCTGACGGCATATTGATAACCCAGTTGACGACATACAACCCTAGTATCTCTCATATCCCATTCATTATTACAGATCGTTCCCCATTGGCCATTGTGGAATACTTCAACACGACCAATACCTTTTGCACTTTTTGGTCCTTGTAACCTAACTGAAACAAGCATACCTAAAAGAACGTAAAATATATTAAGGTATATTTGCCGGATATAGCAGTTTTTCCGATTAATGAAGGATAATATTTTTCTCGTACAGAGTGGCAGTAAACTTGCTATAGCATTAATTTAGCCTGGACGAGGTATTTGACACGGAAAAACATTTCAAGTATATATTATTAAAAAACATCGAAGTTTCAGTTGGTGATTGGCAATAAATAGGTAGCGAAAACAGATATTTCGTATAACTTCACCTGTTTTACTACATTCTACTCCAGCATCTTTCGAATGATCACAATTATTGATTCCCCATTCGGAATGAAAACATGTTGATATATTTTTTTCTTTTCCTGTACATCTGACGTCAGCTAACCATATTTGTCCAGAACCTGATGGAACCTGCCCCCTTGAAGAGATCTGACGGCATCTGGATAACCAAGTTGACGACATAAAACCTTAGCGTCTCTAAAATCCCATCCATCATCACAGATTGTTCCCCATAGTCCATTGTAAAATACTTCTACTCGACCAGTACCATTTTCACTTGAAGGCCCTTGTAATCTCACCGACACATTTGAAGCTTTAAAAAGGGAAAAACCATTCGAGTGCGCAGATATAATTATAGAAATTAAAATAATGATAGAAATTAAAATAGGTATAAAAACGTTTCATGACCAACTAAACGTCATTGGCAGTTCAAGCCGATGGAAAAAAATGCAAATGCTTCCAACGATTTAAAATGTTCAAAGTGGGGAAAACTGTATCAAAATAGTGATATACAATATTATAGTACAAGATATCATATCTTATTCACTCGCAATGTATTCTATAATTATAAGCTGTGGTATAGAAAATCTGAGACGATATTACCCGGAGCAAAAGCTGTTTTCAAATACTATGAACCAAGGCATGAACAAAACACTCTGTTCGTACTGTCCATTGATTGTTGTGATTTCCTTGACCCATGCATTTACACTACACACCGGGTCTTATGATCACGATATCTGTTTAAGTTGCTTAACGGTATCTCTTTCCGCAGAAATATTTCATTTGATCATGTGAAAGCAGTAATATTATCATACTTTTGGGGTCAAACTCGCTTGATGTCATGAAATGTGAAATCAAACAGTACACTCGTAAAATTGTAGAATAGGGAAGAGAGTTTGGACCGATATTTAAGACGTCTTGCTAAAACACCTGTAATAACGAAATTATTACAAAAAGTGAAACTATCAGCACACTCATGCTATACCTGTGTTAGTGCATTCAATTCCAACGTCTTGCGAATGCACGCAACTATGATTTCCCCATCCATTGTGAGAGCAACTTGTTATATTTCGCTCTCTTCCATTGCAAGCAACGTCGTCCAACCATATACGCTCAGAACCAGGAAGATCCTGCCTCCAATGAAAATGTCTGACGGCATATTGATAACCCAGTTGACGACATACAACCCTAGTATGTCTCATATCCCATTCATTATTACAGATCGTTCCCCATTGGCCATTGTGGAATACTTCAACACGACCAATACCTTTTGCACTTTTTGGTCCTTGTAACCTAACTGAAACAAGCATACCTAAAAGAACGTAAAATATATTAAGGTATATTTGCCGGATATAGCAGTTTTTCCGATTAATGAAGGATAATATTTTTCTCGTACAGAGTGGCAGTAAACTGCTATAGCATTAATTTAGCCTGGACGAGGTATTTGACACGGAAAAACATTTCAAGTATATATTATTAAAAAACATCGAAGTTTCAGTTGGTGATTGGCAATAAATAGGTAGCGAAAAACAGATATTTCGTATAACTTCACCTGTTTTACTACATTCTACTCCAGCATCTTTCGAATGATCACAATTATTGATTCCCCATTCGGAATGAAAACATGTTGATATATTTTTTCTTTTCCTGTACATCTGACGTCAGCTAACCATATTTGTCCAGAACCTGATGGAACCTGCCCCCCTTGAAGAGATCTGACGGCATCTGGATAACCAAGTTGACGACATAAAACCTTAGCGTCTCTAAAATCCCATCCATCATCACAGATTGTTCCCCATAGTCCATTGTAAAATACTTCTACTCGACCAGTACCATTTTCACTTGAAGGCCCTTGTAATCTCACCGACACATTTGAAGCTTTAAAAAGGGAAAAACCATTCGAGTGCGCAGATATAATTATAGAAATTAAAATAATGATAGAAATTAAAATAGGTATAAAAACGTTTCATGACCAACTAAACGTCATTGGCAGTTCAAGCCGATGGAAAAAAATGCAAATGCTTCCAACGATTTAAAATGTTCAAAGTGGGGAAAACTGTATCAAAATAGTGATATACAATATTATAGTACAAGATATCATATCTTATTCACTCGCAATGTATTCTATAATTATAAGCTGTGGTATAGAAAATCTGAGACGATATTACCCGGAAAAAAACCTGTTTTCAAATACTATGAACCAAGGCATGAACAAAACACTCTGTTCGTACTGTCCATTGATTGTTGTGATTTCCTTGACCCATGCATTTACACTACACACCGGAGTCTTATGATCACGATATCTGTTTAAGTTGCTTAACGGTATCTCTTTCCGCAGAAATATTTCATTTGATCATGTGAAAGCAGTAATATTATCATACTTTTGGGGTCAAACTCGCTTGATGTCATGAAATGTGAAATCAAACAGTACACTCGTAAAATTGTAGAATAGGGAAGAGAGTTTGGACCGATATTTAAGACGTCTTGCTAAAACACCTGTAATAACGAAATTATTACAAAAAGTGAAACTATCAGCACACTCATGCTATACCTGTGTTAGTGCATTCAATTCCAACGTCTTGCGAATGCACGCAACTATGATTTCCCCATCCATTGTGAGAGCAACTTGTTATATTTCGCTCTCTTCCATTGCAAGCAACGTCGTCCAACCATATACGCTCAGAACCAGGAAGATCCTGCCTCCAATGAAAATGTCTGACGGCATATTGATAACCCAGTTGACGACATACAACCCTAGTATCTCTCATATCCCATTCATTATTACAGATCGTTCCCCATTGGCCATTGTGGAATACTTCAACACGACCAATACCTTTTGCACTTTTTGGTCCTTGTAACCTAACTGAAACAAGCATACCTAAAAGAACGTAAAATATATTAAGGTATATTTGCCGGATATAGCAGTTTTTCCGATTAATGAAGGATAATATTTTTCTCGTACAGAGTGGCAGTAAACTGCTATAGCATAAATTTAGCCTGGACGAGGTATTTGACACGGAAAAACATTTCAAGTATATATTATTAAAAAACATCGAAGTTTCAGTTGGTGATTGGCAATAAATAGGTAGCGAAAAACAGATATTTCGTATAACTTCACCTGTTTTACTACATTCTACTCCAGCATCTTTCGAATGATCACAATTATTGATTCCCCATTCGGAATGAAAACATGTTGATATATTTTTTTCTTTTCCTGTACATCTGACGTCAGCTAACCATATTTGTCCAGAACCTGATGGAACCTGCCCCCTTGAAGAGATCTGACGGCATCTGGATAACCAAGTTGACGACATAAAACCTTAGCGTCTCTAAAATCCCATCCATCATCACAGATTGTTCCCCATAGTCCATTGTAAAATACTTCTACTCGACCAGTACCATTTTCACTTGAAGGCCCTTGTAATCTCACCGACACATTTGAAGCTTTAAAAAGGGAAAAACCATTCGAATGCGCAGATATAATTATAGAAATTAAAATAATGATAGAAATTAAAATAGGTATAAAAACGTTTCATGACCAACTAAACGTCATTGCCAGTTCAAGCCGATGGAAAAAAATGCAAATGCTTCCAACGATTTAAAATGTTCAAAGTGGGGAAAACTGTATCAAAATAGTGATATACAATATTATAGTACCAGATATCATATCTTATTCACTCGCAATGTATTCTATAATTATAAGCTGTGGTATAGAAAATCTGAGACGATATTACCCGGAGCAAAAGCTGTTTTCAAATACTATGAACCAAGGCATGAACAAAACACTCTGTTCGTACTGTCCATTGATTGTTGTGATTTCCTTGACCCATGCATTACACTACACACCGGAGTCTTATGATCACGATATCTGTTTAAGTTGCTTAACGGTATCTCTTTCCGCAGAAATATTTCATTTGATCATGTGAAAGCAGTAATATTATCATACTTTTGGGGTCAAACTCGCTTGATGTCATGAAATGTGAAATCAAACAGTACACTCGTAAAATTGTAGAATAGGGAAGAGAGTTTGGACCGATATTTAAGACGTCTTGCTAAAACACCTGTAATAACGAAATTATTACAAAAAGTGAAACTATCAGCACACTCATGCTATACCTGTGTTAGTGCATTCAATTCCAACGTCTTGCGAATGCACGCAACTATGATTTCCCCATCCATTGTGAGAGCAACTTGTTATATTTCGCTTCTCTTCCATTGCAAGCAACGTCGTCCAACCATATACGCTCAGAACCAGGAAGATCCTGCCTCCAATGAAAATGTCTGACGGCATATTGATAACCCAGTTGACGACATACAACCCTAGTATCTCTCATATCCCATTCATTATTACAGATCGTTCCCCATTGGCCATTGTGGAATACTTCAACACGACCAATACCTTTTGCACTTTTTGGTCCTTGTAACCTAACTGAAACAAGCATACCTAAAGAACGTAAAATATATTAAGGTATATTTGCCGGATATAGCAGTTTCCGATTAATGAAGGATAATATTTTCTCGTACAGAGTGGCAGTAAACTGCTATAGCATAAATTTAGCCTGGACGAGGTATTTGACACGGAAAAACATTTCAAGTATATATTATTAAAAAACATCGAAGTTTCAGTTGGTGATTGGCAATAAATAGGTAGCGAAAAACAGATATTTCGTATAACTTCACCTGTTTTACTACATTCTACTCCAGCATCTTTCGAATGATCACAATTATTGATTCCCCATTCGGAATGAAAACATGTTGATATATTTTTTTCTTTTCCTGTACATCTGACGTCAGCTAACCATATTTGTCCAGAACCTGATGGAACCTGCCCCCTTGAAGAGATCTGACGGCATCTGGATAACCAAGTTGACGACATAAAACCTTAGCGTCTCTAAAATCCCATCCATCATCACAGATTGTTCCCCATAGTCCATTGTAAAATACTTCTACTCGACCAGTACCATTTTCACTTGAAGGCCCTTGTAATCTCACCGACACATTTGAAGCTTTAAAAAGGGAAAAACCATTCGAGTGCGCAGATATAATGATAAATAGAAATGATAAAATTAAAATAATGATAGAATTAAAATAATGATAGAATTAAAATAGGTATAAAAACGTTTCATGACCAACTAAACGTCATTGGCAGTTCAAGCCGATGGAAAAAAATGCAAATGCTTCCAACGATTTAAAATGTCAAAGTGGGGAAAACTGTATCAAAATAGTGATATACAATATTATAGTACAAGATATCATATCTTATTCACTCGCAATGTATTCTATAATTATAAGCTGTGGTATAGAAAATCTGAGACGATATTACCCGGAGCAAAAGCTGTTTTCAAATACTATGAACCAAGGCATGAACAAAACACTCTGTTCGTACTGTCCATTGATTGTTGTGATTTCCTTGACCCATGCATTTACACTACACACCGGAGTCTTATGATCACGATATCTGTTTAAGTTGCTTAACGGTATCTCTTTCCGCAGAAATATTTCATTTGATCATGTGAAAGCAGTAATATTATCATACTTTTGGGTCAAACTCGCTTGATGTCATGAAATGTGAAATCAAACAGTACACTCGTAAAATTGTAGAATAGGGAAGAGAGTTTGGACCGATATTTAAGACGTCTTGCTAAAACACCTGTAATAACGAAATTATTACAAAAAGTGAAACTATCAGCACACTCATGCTATATACCTGTGTTAGTGCATTCAATTCCAACGTCTTGCGAATGCACGCAACTATGATTTCCCCATCCATTGTGAGAGCAACTTGTTATATTTCGCTCTCTTCCATTGCAAGCAACGTCGTCCAACCATATACGCTCAGAACCAGGAAGATCCTGCCTCCAATGAAAATGTCTGACGGCATATTGATAACCCAGTTGACGACATACAACCCTAGTATCTCTCATATCCCATTCATTATTACAGATCGTTCCCCATTGGCCATTGTGGAATACTTCAACACGACCAATACCTTTTGCACTCTTTGGTCCTTGTAACCTAACTGAAACAAGCATACCTAAAAGAACGTAAAATATATTAAGGTATATTTGCCGGATATAGCAGTTTTTCCGATTAATGAAGGATAATATTTTTCTCGTACAGAGTGGCAGTAAACTTGCTATAGCATTAAATTTAGCCTGGACGAGGTATTTGACACGGAAAAACATTTCAAGTATATATTATTAAAAAACATCGAAGTTTCAGTTGGTGATTGGCAATAAATAGGTAGCGAAAAACAGATATTTCGTATACTTCACCTGTTTACTACATTCTACTCCAGCATCTTTCGAATGATCACAATTATTGATTCCCCATTCGGAATGAAAACATGTTGATATATTTTTTTCTTTTCCTGTACATCTGACGTCAGCTAACCATATTTGTCCAGAACCTGATGGAACCTGCCCCCTTGAAGAGATCTGACGGCATCTGGATAACCAAGTTGACGACATAAAACCTTAGCGTCTCTAAAATCCCATCCATCATCACAGATTGTTCCCCATAGTCCATTGTAAAATACTTCTACTCGACCAGTACCATTTTCACTTGAAGGCCCTTGTAATCTCACCGACACATTTGAAGCTTTAAAAAGGGAAAAACCATTCGAGTGCGCAGATATAATTATAGAAATTAAAATAATGATAGAAATTAAAATAGGTATAAAAAGTTTCATGACCAACTAAACGTCATTGGCAGTTCAAGCCGATGGAAAAAAATGCAAATGCTTCCAACGATTTAAAATGTTCAAAGTGGGGAAAACTGTATCAAAATAGTGATATACAATATTATAGTACAAGATATCATATCTTATTCACTCGCAATGTATTCTATAATTATAAGCTGTGGTATAGAAAATCTGAGACGATATTACCCGGAGCAAAAAGCTGTTTTCAAATACTATGAACCAAGGCATGAACAAAACTCTGTTCGTACTGTCCATTGATTGTTGTGATTTCCTTGACCCATGCATTTACACTACACACCGGAGTCTTATGATCACGATATCTGTTTAAGTTGCTTAACGGATCTCTTTCCGCAGAAATATTTCATTTGATCATGTGAGCAGTAATATTATCATACTTTTGGGTCAAACTCGCTTGATGTCATGAAATGTGAAATCAAACAGTACACTCGTAAATTGTAGAATAGGGAAGAGAGTTTGGACCGATATTTAAGACGTCTTGCTAAAACAACCTGTAATAACGAAATTATTACAAAAAGTGAAACTATCAGCACACTCATGCTATACCTGTGTTAGTGCATTCAATTCCAACGTCTTGCGAATGCACGCAACTATGATTTCCCATCCATTGTGAGAGCAACTTGTTATATTTCGCTCTCTTCCATTGCAAGCAACGTCGTCCAACCATATACGCTCAGAACCAGGAAGATCCTGCCTCCAATGAAAATGTCTGACGGCATATTGATAACCCGTTGACGACATACAACCCTAGTATCTCTCATATCCCATTCATTATTACAGATCGTTCCCCATTGGCCATTGTGGAATACTTCAACACGACCATACCTTTTGCACTCTTTGGTCCTTGTAACCTAACTGAAACAAGCATACCTAAAGAACGTAAAATATATTAAGGTATATTTGCCGGATATAGCAGTTTTTCCGATTAATAAGGATAATGTTTTTCTCGTACAGAGTGGCAGTAAAACTTGCTATAGCATAAATTTAGCCTGGACGAGGTATTTGACACGGAAAAACATTTCAAGTATATATTATTAAAAAACATCGAAGTTTCAGTTGGTGATTGGCAATAAATAGGTAGCGAAAAACAGATATTTCGTATAACTTCACCTGTTTTACTACATTCTACTCCAGCATCTTTCGAATGATCACAATTATTGATTCCCATCGGAATGAACATGTTGATATATTTTTTTCTTTTCCTGTACATCTGACGTCAGCTAACCATATTTGTCCAGAACCTGATGGAACCTGCCCCCCTTGAAGAGATCTGACGGCATCTGGATAACCAAGTTGACGACATAAAACCTTAGCGTCTCTAAAATCCCATCCATCATCACAGATTGTTCCCCATAGTCCATTGTAAAATACTTCTACTCGACCAGTACCATTTTTACTTGAAGGTCCTTGTAATCTCACCGACACATTTGAAGCTGTAAAAAGGGAAAAACCATTCGAGTACGCAGATATAATGATAGAAATTAAAATAATGATAGAAATTAAAATAATGATAGAATTAAATTGATAGAAATTAAAATAGGTATAAAATGAGAACGTCATTGGCAGTTCAAGCCGATGGAAAAAAATGCAAATGCTTCCAACGATTTAAATGGGAAAACTGATCAAATAGTGATCAAAATAGTGATATACAATATTATAGTACAAGATATCATATCTTATTCACTCGCAATGTATTCTATAATTATAAGCTTTGGTATAGGATATCTTAAACGATGTAACCGGGAACAAAAATTCGTCTCAAATACTATGAACCAAGCCATAAACAACAAACTCTGATAGTCGTATCCGTACTTTACATATACCACCCAGGTGAATATTTAACAAGAACATTTTCAGCTTTTGGGGTCAAACTCGATTGATGTCATGAAATGTGAAATCAAACAGTAGAGTCGTAAAATTGTAGAACATGCAAGAGAGTTTAGATTTGTATTAAGACGTCTTGCTATATAACGAAATTATTGAAAAAAGTGAAATTATCAGTACACGCATGCTATACCTGTGTTAGTGCATTCTATTCCAACGTCTTGCGAATGCACGCAATTATGGTTTCCCCATCCATTGTGAGAGCAACTTATTATATTTCGCTCTTCTCCATTGCAAGTAACGTCGTCCAACCATATGCGCTCAGAACCAGGAAGATCCTGCCTCCAATGAAAATGTCTGACGGCATATTGATAACCCAGTTGACGACATACAACCCTAGTATCTCTCATATCCCATTCATTATCACAGATAGTTCCCCATTGACCATTGTAGAACACTTCAACACGACCAATACCTTTTGCACTATTTGGTCCTTGTAACCTAACTGAAACAAGCATACCTGAAAGAACGTAAAATATATAAAGGTATATTTGTCGGATCTAGCAAATTTTACGATAAATAAACGATAATATTTTTCTCGTACCGAGTGCCAGTAAATTGACTGTAGCATAAACTTAGTCTGGACGAGGTATTTGACACGGAAAAACATTTGAAGTATATATTATTAAAAAACATTGAAGTTTCAGTTGGTGATTGGCAATAAATCGATAGCGGAAAACAGATATTTCGTAACTTCACCTGTTTTACTACATTCTACTCCAGCATCTTTCGAATGATCGCAATTATTGATTCCCCATTCGGAACGAGAACATCTTGATATATTCTCTTCTTCTCCTGTACATCTGACGTCATCTAACCATATTTGTCCAGAACCTGAAGGAACCTCCCTCCCTTGAAGTGATCTGATTGCATCTGAATAACCAAGTTGACGACATACAACCCTAGCGTCTCTAAAATCCCATCCATCATCACATATTGTTCCCCAAGTTTCATCGTAGAATACCTCAACACGACCTAGACCACTTTCACTTGAAGGCCCTCGTAATCTGATCGACACATTTGTAGCTGTAGAAAGGAAAGCCAGTTATATTTGTTGCTCTTTTGTGTCGCCAGCTCGCTTGCTAGGTTTTTATCCAATGAAAATGCCTTCATGTAAAATTATTTACAAGCACTAGCTATAGAAGTGATCTGGATTTTTGCGATGTGTGGGAATTGCAAATGAAAAAATGTCAGGGTGGCTGATGTGATAGAATGTTTCTGTGAGTGTGCAGGCAACAACGACGGATTTGAATACAGGAAAAAAGTTAGATTTAAGTCCGAACTATTTCTTATCGGTGAAAATGACTTGTTCACGACAATAACGACAAATTTGAAAACAGGCTTATGTCGAGACTTGTGTCCCACATTTCATTATTTTGCCTTTGTCTTTCCTTAGGCTTCGTTCCCATTATCACGTAATATTCGCGAAGAAGTCGTTTTCACCGATGGGGACTAGTCCGATGTAAAACTGTCTTCATTTCCTGAATTCTTACCAGACATTGTTGACTGAGCACGGGTAGCAATATTCTATTACATCACGACGTGTTACGAAAAATACAATTCAATGTAAACCAGACTTTATGCTTATGCTTACGTCGCAACAAAAAATTTCTCCTTTATTTGGGCAAGATTAGGGTCTATCACCCGTGTAAATAATTTGTCAAGAGTCATTTTAAACATTTTTAGTTATTTTCGGCCATTGTATTGTAGAGTAAACGCATATAAAAATGGGTATACTCGCACTAATTTTTTTCGTACTGAAAAGAAACATCGAAGTTTCAGTTGGTGATTGGTAATAAATCTATAGCGGAAAGCAAATGTTATGTAACTTCACCTGTCTTACTACATTCTACTCCAGCATCGATCCAATGACTGCAATAATAATTACTAATTCCCCATCCGAGATGTGAGCATTTTGATATAACCTTTTCTTTTCCTGTACAACCGACGTCTTCTAACCATATTCGTCCTGAACCTGATGGAACTTGCTCCCTCTGAAGAGTTCCGACGGCATCTAGATACCCAAGTTGACGACATACAACCCTAGCATCTCTAAAATCCCATCCATTATCGCAGATTGTTCCCCATACTCCATTGTAGGATACCTCAACACGACCAATACCATTTTCACTTAAAGGTCCTTGTATTCTGACGGACACATTTATAGCTGCAAAAAGGCAAAAACTACTTGAATACGCAGTCAATGAGAGAAAATTTAGGTACAAGAGAAGGTTTGAGTGACTTTCGTAAAAAATAGCATAAGCATAATATATTATATGAAACATTCCGGCTGATATATGAGAAAAAAATATATTGTGATCCCCTCACAGTTTCGCCACAGAATAAAAAACATGCATCAAGTAGACCGTTAATTTTGGCGTTCTTGAAGTCGAATAATACGATACTAGTCACCATCTTGGCTACTGCGAATAGTTTTTTTACAAAAAGCCTTTATATGAAAGAGAACACGCAGAAGAGAGCAGTTAACTTATAATTTTAGATATAGCTTTCATGTTCGCTAAGTCCAGTCAAATTTGGAATACATGCATGGAAACGCATTTGAGGCAAAACTACAACGGGAACAGAATCAAGATTATCAAGAGCATAATGATTGTTCTATACGGCCAAAGCTTAAGCCACAAACGCATTATTTGAATACTAATTAATGTTTTAAGAATGAAATTTAAGAAAACTTGGTAGTTTTGTGGAGTATAGCCAGTGTTATCAGTCGTGGTATCAATGAAATTGTTGCTTGATAACTTTCACATGTCACTTATCAGCTCTCTCAATATAAACCGGCGACATTGGTCTTGGACTACTAATAGACTCTTTAGGCATTCAATTGGGAAAGATGAAAACACAAACACCAAATTTCATTAAAAAATGGACAATGAATCAATATAGTAAGCACATATTTTTGGAAACTTCACCTGTTTTTATACATTCTACTCCAGCATCTTTCGAATGATAGCAGTTATTTATTCCCCATCCGCGATGAGAACATCTTGATATATTCTTTTCTTTTCCTTTACAAGTGACTTCATCTAACCATATTTGTCCAGAACCTGAGGGAACCTGCCCCCCTTTAAGTGATCTGATCGCATCTGAATAACCAAGTTGACGACATACAACCCTAGCGTCTCTAAAATCCCATCCATCATCACATATTGTTCCCCAAGTTTCATCGTAGAATACCTCAACACGACCTAGACCACTTTCACTTGAAGGCCCTTGCAATCTGATGGACACATTTGTAGCTGTAGAAAGGAAAGCCAGTTATATTTGTAGCTCCTTTGTCTCGCCAGCTCGCTCGCTAGGTTTTTATCCAATGAAAATGCCTTCAGGTAAAATTATATGCAAGCACTAGAAGTGATCTTGCGAGTGGGTTTTTGCGATGTGTGGGATTTGCAAATGAAAAAATTTCAGGGTGGCTGATGTGATAGAATGTTTCTGTGAGCGTGCAGGCAACAACGACGGATTTGAATACAGGAAAAAAGTTAGATTTAAGTCCGAACTATTTCTTATCGGTGAAAATGACTTGTTCACGACAATAATGACAAATTTGAAAACAGGCTTATGTCGAGACTTGTGTCCCACATTTCATTATTTTGCCTTTGTCTTTCCTTAGGCTTCGTTCCCATTATGACGTAATCGTCGTAAAGAAGTCGTTTTCACCGATGGGAACTAGTCCGATGTAAAACTGTCTTCATTTCCTGACTTCTTACCAGACATTGTTGACTGAGCACGGGTAACAATATTCTATTACATCATGACGTGTTATGAAAAATACAATTAAATGGAAACCAGACTTTATGCTTATGCTTACGCCGCAACAGAAAATCAGGATTTGACATTTCTTTTTGATTTGGGCAAGATTAAGGTCTACCACCCTTGTGAATAATTTGTCAAGAGTCATATCAAACATTTCCCGCCATTTCTGGCCATTGTATTGTAGCCGAGTAAACGCGGATAAAGATGGGTATACTGACACAATTTTTTTCTCGTACTGAGTGCCAGTAAATTGACTGTAGCATAAATTTAGCCTGGAAGAGGTATTTGGCATGGAAAAACATTTGAAGTATATATTATTAAAAAACATCGAAGTTTCAGTTGGTGATTGGCAATAAATCGGTAGCGGAAAACAGATATTTCGTAACTTCACCTGTTTTACTACATTCTACTCCAGCATCGTTCGAATGATAGCAGTTATTTATTCCCCATCCCCGATGAGAACATCTTGATATATTCTCTTCTTTTCCTGTACATCTGACGTCAGCTAACCATATTTGTCCAGAACCTGAGGGAACCTCCCTTTTTTGAAGTGATCTGATTGCATCTGAGTAACCAAGTTGACGACATACAACCCTTGCGTCTCTAAAATCCCATCCATAATCACAGATTGTTCCCCAAGTTTCATCGTAGAATACCTCAACACGACCTAGACCACTTTCACTTGAAGGCCCTCGTAATCTGATCGACACATTTGTAGCTGTAGAAAGGAAAGCCAGTTATATTTGTAGCTCTTTTGTCTCGCCAGCTCGCTTGCAAGGTTTTTATCCAATGAAAATGCCTTTAGGTAAATTATATGCAAGCACTAGCAGTGATCTTGCGAGTGGGTTTTTGCGATGTGTGGGATTTGCAATTGAAAAAATGTCAGGATGGCTGATGTGATAGAATGTTTCTGTGAGTGTGCAGGCAACAACGACGGATTTGAATACAGGAAAAAACTTAGATTTAAGTCCAGACTATTTCTTGTCAGTGAAAATGACTTGTTCACGACAATTACAACAAAATTGAAAACAGGTTTATGTCGAGACTTCAGACTTGTGCCCCACATTTCATTATTTTGCCTTTGTCATTCCTTAGGCTTGTTCCCATTATGACGTAAATGTCGTAAAGAAGTCGTTTTCACCGATGGGAACTAGTCCGATGTAAAACTGTCTTCATTTCCTGAATTCTTACCAGACATTGTTGACTGAGCACGGGTAGCAATATTCTATTACATCACGACGTGTTACGAAAAATACAATTCAATGGAAACCGGACTTTATGCCTATGCTTACGTCGCAACAGAAAATTTTCCCTTTATTTGGTCAAGATTAGGGTCTATCACTCTTGTGAATAATTTTTCAAGAGTCATATTAGACATTTTTAGCTATTTTCGACCATTGTATTGTAGAGTAAACGCAGATAAAAATGGGTATACTCGCACTAATTTTTTTTGTACCGAAAAAAAACATCGAAGTTTCAGTTGGTGATTGGTAATAAATCCATAGCGGAAAGCAGGTGTTTTGTAACTTCACCTGTTTTACTACATTCTACTCCAGCATCTTTCCAATGACTGCAATAATTAATTCCCCATCCGAGATGTAAGCATCTTGATATAACCTTTTCTTTTCCTGTACATCTGACGTCAGCTAACCACATTTGTCCAGAACCTGATGGAACCTGCTCCCGTTGAAGAGAACTGACGGCATCTGGATAACCAAGTTGACGACATACAACCCTAGCGTCTCTAAAATCCCATCCATGATCACAGATTGTACCCCATTGTCCATTGTAAAATACCTCAACACGACCAGTACCACTTTCACTCGAAGGCCCTTGTAATCTGACGGACACATTTACGGCTGTAAAAAGGCAAAAACTACTTGAATACGCAGTCAATGAGAGAAAATATAGGCACAAGAGAAGGTTTTAGTGACTTTTGTATAAAATAGCATACGCATAAGAGATTAAACATTCCGGCTGATATATGAGAAAAAAATATATTGTGATCCCCTCACAGTGTGGCTACAGAATAACAAACATGCATCACGTAGACCGTTAATTTTCGCGTTCTTGAAGTCGAATAATACGATACTAGTCACCATCTTGACAAGTGCAAATAGTTTTTTTACAAAAAGCCTTTATATGAAAGAGAACACGCAGAAGAGAGCAGTTAACTTATAATTCTAAATATAACCTTTATGTTCGCTAAGTCCAGTCAAATTTGGAATACATGGAAACGCATTTGAGGCAAAACTACAACAGGAACAGAATCAAGACTATCAAGAGCATAATGATTGTTCTATATGGCCAAAGCTTAAGTCACAAAAGCATTATTTGAATATTAATTAAATGTGTTAAGAATGAAATTAAAAAAAACTTGGTAGTTTTGTGGAGCATAACCAGTGTTATCAGTCGTGGTATCAATGAAATTGTTGCTTGAGAATTTTCACATGTCACTTGTCAGCTTTCTCAATTCAAACTGGCGACATTGGACTTGCACTACTACAGCATTTGCATGTCATTTAAAGAAAAGAGAAGAACATTAAAATGTTTGGTATTTCAATAGCGCTGAAAGAACTACAATAGCGCTAATTTAACATCAATTGTATTAGTGCGGAAGTTCAACAACACGGCCTTATTATATATTCCGTAAAATTGCGTTAACTTATTGATCATTAACATTTTCGGAACAACAATAGCAATAAATCAAACGACATTTAGCATAGAGAAATATTCATTAATGTAAAGGTGTAGAAAGTAAATATTAGAATTCGCATTCTATCATATTTGTCTGTTCACACAACAGCAATATCAGTATGTGCAGTAAGTTTTATCCCTGGATGTGTTCTCTTTCAAGTAGGTCTGCATGCGTAAGTCTGTCCCATGCTGTACCTTTCGCAAATGGTTAGGCAGTGCACATTCCGTTCAGCAGTTCAGCTATCAAATTTTTTTTTTGAAATTCAACGTTTTGAAGTGAACAAATTCTTCTCATCTTCTCATTTGTACCTTTATAACTATCTTTTGTTTGTAAATTATGTATACATAATAGAACGCAGATGAGAGAACTTGGGGTAAATAAGTATTACTCAGTTACGCTAAATGTTGTTTGATCTATTGCTATTGTTGTTTCGAAAATGTTAATGATCAATAAGTTAACGCAATTGTTCTTCGTTTCGTTCTATTGATTTTCACTTTACGGAATATATAATAAGGCGTTGTTGTTGAACTTTCGCACTACCACAATTGATTTTCAGTCAGCGCTATTGTAGTTCTTTCAGCGGTATTGAAATACCAATAACTTTAATGTTCTTCTCATTTCTTTAAATGACATGCAAATGCTGTAATAGACTCTTTAGGCATTCAATTGGGAAAGATAAAAACATGCATGATTCTTCCGACAATTCAACAAACACTAAATTTTCATTTAAAAATGGGCAATTAATCAATATAGTAAGCAGATATTTTTGGAAACTTCACCTGTTTTTATACATTCCACTCCAGCATCTTGCGAATGATAGCAGTTATTTATTCCCCACCCGCGATGAGAACATCTTGATATATTCTCTTCTTTTCCTGAACATCTAACGTCAGTTAACCATATTTGTCCAGAACCTGAGGGAACCTCCCACCCTTGAAGTGATCTGATTGCATCTGAATAACCAAGTTGACGACATACAACCCTAGCGTCTCTAAAATCCCATCCATAACCACAGATTGTTCCCCAAGTTTCATCGTAGAATACCTCAACACGACCTAGACCACTTTCACTTGAAGGCCCTCGTAATCTGATCGACACATTTGTAGCTGTAGAAAGCAAAGCCGGTTATATTTGTAGCTCTTTTGTCTCGCCAACTTGCTTGCTAGGTTTTTATCCAATGAAAATGCCTTTAGGTAAAATTATATGCAAGCACTAGAAGTGATCTTGCGACTGCGATGTGTGGGATTTGCAAATGAAAAAATGTCAGGGTGGTTGATGTGATAGAATGTTTCTGTGAATATGGAGGCAACAACGACGGATTTGAATACAGGGAAAAACTTTAAGTCCGGGCTTTTTCTTTCGGTGAAAATGACTTGCTCACGACAATCAGGAAAAAATTCAAACAGGCTTATGTCGAGACTTGTGTCCTACATTTCATTATTTTGCATTTGTCTTTTCTTAGGCTTCGTTCCCATTATGACGTAATTGTCGCGAAGAAGTCGTTTTCACCGATGGGAACTAGTCCGATGTAAAACTGTCTTCATTTCCTGAATTCTTACCAGACATTGTTGACTGAGCACGGGTAGCAATATTCTATTACATTATGACGTGTCACGAAAAATACAATTCAATGTAAACCAGACTTTATGCTTATGCTTACGTCGCAACAAAAAATTTCTCCTTAATTTGGGCAAGATTAGGGTCTATCACCCGTGTAAATAATTTGTCAAGAGTCATATTAGACATTTTTAGCTATTTTTGGCCAGTGTATTGTAGAGTAAACGCATATAAAAATGGGTATACTCGGACTAAGTTTTTTTGTACCGAAAAAAAACATCGAAGTTTCAGTTGGTGATTGGTAATAAATCCATAGCGGAAAGCAGATGTTTTGTAACTTCACCTGTTTTACTACATTCTACTCCAGCATCTTTCCAATGACTGCAAAAATTAATTCCCCATCCAAAATGTGAGCATCTTGATATAACCTTTTCTTTTCCTGTACATCTGACGTCAGCTAACCATATTTGTCCAGAACCTGATGGAACCTGCTCACGTTGAAGAGAACTGACGGCATCTGGATAACCAAGTTGACGACATACAACCTTAGCGTCTCTAAAATCCCATTCATCATCACAGATTGTACCCCATATTCCATTGTAAAATACTTCTACTCGACCAGTACCATTTTCACTTAAAGGCCCTTGTAATCTGACGGACACATTTATAGCTGTAGAAAGACAAAAACTACTTGAATACGTAGTCAATGAGAGAAAATATAGGTACAAGAGAAGGTTTCAGTGACTTTCGTATAAAATAGCATAAGCATAAGAGATCAAACATTCCGGCTGATATATATAAAAAAAATATTGTGATCCCCTCACAGTTTCGCCACAGAATGACAAACACGCATCACGTAGACCGTTAATTTCGCGTTTTTGAAGTCGAATAATACGATACTAGTCACCATCTTGACAAGTGCGAATAGTTTTTTTACAAAAAGCCTTTATATGAAAGAGAACACGCAGAAGAGAGCAGTTAACTTATAATTTTTGATATAACCTTCATGTTCGCTAAGTCCTGCCAAATTTGGAATACATGGAAACGCAGTTTGAAGGAAAACTACAACAGGAACAGAATGAAAACTATCAAGAGAATAATTATTGTTCTATATGGCCAAAGCTTAAGCCCAAGTGCAGGATATGAATATTAATTAATGTTTTAAGAATGAAATTAAAGAAAACTTGGTAGTTTTGTGGAGCATAGCCAGTGTTATCAGTCGTGGTATCAATGAAATTGTTGCTTGATAACTTTCACATGTCACTTGTGTATCAGCTCTCTCAATTTAAACCGGCGACATTGGACTTGGACTACTAATAGACACCTTAGGCATTTAATTGTGCAATTAATGATTGCATATTTCAATTTGCCCAGCCAATAAGCGCTATACTATAGCAATCAACTAAACGTGAATGTATAGGGAAGATGAAAACATGTATGATTCTTCCGACGATTCAACAAACACTGCATTTTCATTTTAAAATGGGCAATGAAGTAATCTTTATATAGTAATCAATATAGTAATCTTTTGTGAATTCTCCCACTTATAATCTTTCGAGGTATTTAGCTAGAATATTGTCTTCTACTGTTGGGAATACTGTCTACACAGTAAAAAACTCTACTCATTTTGCGGAATTTATTAGAGGTGAAACTCTAAACGCAGGCTCGTATCGTTTGATGTCGTTTCCTTGTTTACCAAAATCCCTGTCAATCTTGCCATCAAAGTTGCTGAAAAAAGACTCACAGAAGATGTTTCTTTATCACAAAGAACATTGTTACTTGTGGAAGATATAATCGATCTTTTATCCTTTTGTCTGAATACGACTTTTTTTTTTGACGACCAGCAGGTTTTTGGGACAGCGATGCGATCCCCGGTCTCGGCAGTAATTGCTAATCTAGTAATGGAAGATGTCGAGCAAAGAGCTTTTACCTCTAGTACGGTTAAACCTTTGTTTTGGAAACGATATGTTGACGATGTGGCCTCTGTGGTTAACAAAAATGAGATCGATAATTTGTTGAAACATTTGAATTCTAACATTTGAGCCATCAATTCAACTCAGGAAAGTTGGATTTTTTGCATACTTATGTTCATAGAAATATCGAAAGGCAGTTAGAAACTGATGTTTACCGTAAACCTACACATACGGACAAATATGTATCCTTCTACTCACACCATCCAAAAAGTCATAAAAAGTCTGTTGCAAAAGCTTTGTTTCAAAAAGCTGAATCGTTAACATCCAATCGCGTTGCTAGGGACAACGAGCGTGATTATGTCCTCAGTGTACTGAGAGAGAACAATTATCCACGAAACTTTTTCCCTTCCCGACTAGATGCAATTCCTCAGAGGGTGATTCCTCAAAAACAGGTTTTGCTATAGTTCCATACATTCAGGGAATTGCAGAACCAATCAGGAGGATCCTGAATAATTGTGGTATAAAAATTGCCTTAAAACCCTTTCAGACACTGGGACATATTTTTGCGAAACGCAAGGATCGCGTAGCGACTAAACAGAAAACTTATGCTGTATACTCAATACCATGTAGTGATTGCAGTAAGAATATCTAGGTGAAACAAAACGCCAATTAGGCACACGTTTAAAAGAACATCAAAAAGCCGTTTCGAACTTAGACAGTTCAAAATCAGCCTTGGTGGAACACGTGTGTCTAACTAACCATAACATTGCGTGGAACGATTCAAAAGTCATTACCACTAATGATAGTTGCCGTGAACTCATTAACTCAATTCGTTATTCATTTCTTCTCAAATTGATTGTTTTAACGGTATGTGAACATGAATATATGAATATGTCCACCTCACTTATCGATGCAGGGACGCCACTGAAGCGATGTATACAATAATGATTGCTGGCATGCTGCATAAGCCTTCCCGGCCCACGTTAAGCACTTCCTCTTCTTATAGGAACGTAATATCGGGGACTTTGGAGAAAGCTTACAAAAGTTTTTGAATATTTTCTAAATTAATCTCGGAACATGCAGTGAAATAATTACTTGTATACAACCGTCTACACGATGCCAAAGAATTTGAAAACGGCAGAATATTTTACGTTAAAATGTTTATGCCAACAAATATTTTATACTAAAAAGTCGATTGGGAATCAATCAAATAAAACCCCTCTACGAGGGAACGTGGGTTCATGGACGGGATTTTAAACGCTACGCGTCATGTCGTCGTTTTCATATCCTTTTCAAATTTATTGCACAAAGCTGTTTTCGCGTATCTGCTCAGTGGTTTTCAAATTCCGCAAGTACAACACCCTCGGCATGCTTTACAACAAGCCTTCTTAACTGCAACAGTCACGTCAAATAAAAAGAACTCTATAATTATTATGTGAACAGGAGCGATAATTCCGGCGGCCCTTTGTTGAAGCCAATCTTGCACCGAATTGAAGAAATTTTAGTCTAGTCTTTTAAGTAACACTCTTTAATTTACTTTCTTGTCATTTTTATTATTAATTTGTTTGCCTTCTGATGTTGTATATTTCGTTCAAAACAACGTGCTTTCGTTTTACTTTTATTGAAGTATACTGTTTATTTCATGAAAGCGAAACAATTACGAAGCCAAACATCTACAGCCTACCATGCACATAATCTGTTTCCATTATTTTGGTGCGAATTTTAAGCAAACATGGATGACAAAGAAAATCCTTCTCTCCATAATCGCCTTCGATATTAACAATTCTTAAAAGTGGAACTTTAACATCGCCTACAAACTGCGCATCTACAATGTCCGTATAGATATACATTGAAGAGAATCCGGCATTTATATCCGCTACAAAAGGGCTTGTCGTTTTCTTTTTGATCACGATGTCTTCGCTAAACCCCAGCGTCGCAGCTATGTCACCAGTCATCCACACCCAAGCCCCGTGTTTAACATCAACGCTTAATTACTTTGCGAGTGTTACGATTATAAGTGAATTTTATTTTTGTTTGACATTCCTTAGTCATGGATGCATTCATCGCTTTAACAAGGTCTGCGACGGTTGCAAAATGCGCGTCGTTTAGTTTTAGCAAACCAGTTTCATGCTTGTCCACATGATAAATAAATGACTGTTGCACTTCCTGTCTTAGTGTACTCCATGTGTGTGGGTAATGAAGTCCGGCCAGCACGACCTCCCACTGCCCGGGTAGAACGATCATTTCAGCTATTTTTACCCGAAAATTTGCAATAGTATTACTTGGAAAATACCTCATAGAACTATTAATTGGCAAGTTGAGATGAAACTGTGTTGTCATGATGAACGCTTATATAGACACAAATGATGTTGAGCTCAATGATAGCCCTATTTTATTTATATATCTTTTACACTTTCTGCTGCCATCCATGAATTAAACTTCTCTGGGTATCCTAACCATTTTACATAATATTCTTTACGTTTATTACGTATGCGTGATCTAAGTTTTTGTTCCACTCTATAAAAATCACTGTCTATCTTGTTGACTTTCTGCAATTCTTGTTCGTAGAATGTTCCGTGTAACTCATCGTTATCGTAGTCAGCAATTCTGTAGACAGGCGGTCGTCGAGGTATGCGTTTCGTTACGGTAAATACTTCTTCAGTCCAATTTGGTAGGTAGCCTTTCCTGAACGTTCTTCTTGCCTTGCTGATCCGAAACTGATCGCCAACATCAAACTTATGGGTTTTTCGGGTTCTTCCCCATAAAGTTTTTGCCATAGAGCGCTTTCGTTAGTTTCGTTCACGTCTACTGGTCTCATGCCAATACTGCGATGCCTCGATGATCCATAATAACTTAATCTGCCTCCCACTCTTCGTCCATAGCTGCTACTATAACACGATTACGCTTGAAACGAAATTGAACTGGCTTGTGAAGAGTGTACGTATCTTGAGTTCTCAACCATGCTCGTATTTTATTCCGTGATATTTGATACTTGCCATCGTTTCTAACAGCACGATAAAGGGCGTCTACGCCACCAAAACTTACTGGACTTTCTGGGCTGTAATACAGGTTGCTCAGATATTTTTCGGCCATCAACGTAAGAGGCCTGAATTACAATACTGCTCCCGCAACAGGCGGAAATGCACGTATTTTGCGAAAAAAATTTCTGATTGAGATTTCAGGGAGCGCCTTACCACAGCAAGTCATCCTCTCGCCACAAAGGTTTCAGCGAAGTGAATGTCCTGAGGTTTACAAACTGATATATAAAGCTAATAACGTGTAGTGTGATATATAACAAATAGTAACTCACTAATATTACGTATCACTAATATCAACTAATGACGTCATGATGCATATATAAACTAAGTGTATTGACATTAAAGGGTATTATTGTTCGAGACATAATTGCACATAACGTACATGAAAATGTTGAAACAATCGCCCATTTTTTGCTTGGTTGTGCTTTTGGAACGCTTATATTCCGGAAAGATAGAATACAATACCTAACATTGCGCCGTATACATTTCTCGCTTTCGCAGTTTAAGTGTATGCAAGCTAAATTATAGGCACGAAGTCGACCAAAGTTTGAAACAATTATTTCTTTGTATAGCTGTTCGTAATCACGACAATCACCTCGCAATATACCCCCATGGTTTAAAAGGATGGTGTTTACATGAAACTTTAAAGTTTCTTTCTCGATTTAAACATGATTTTGCTGCAGCTCGTCAACAATCACGTCGAAACCATTCATTGTACA